TCTCACGACCGCGCTGCTGCTGCTGGCGCGGACCAGCACCGTAGCCACTCCTCTGCGTAGACCCGCGACCAGCTCCACTGCCACCTCCGCCACCTTCGCCGCCTCCGCTACTACCACCGCCTCCGCCGCCTCCTCCACCGCCGCCACCTCCGCCACCTCCGCTCCCACCGCCACCGCCGCCACCGCCTCCGCCTCCACTGCCGCCACCGACACCTCCACCCCCACCTCCACTCCCACCGCCACCCCCACTCCCCCCGCCGCCTCCACCTTCACCTCCACCGACCGACTCAAGACCAAGGAGGTCGGCCACAGCAGTAGAGGCAACAGAGGGCAAAAGGGGGGAGGGGGAACACCCCTCAAAGATGGGGGTGCGCGGGTCACCACGAGAGGCCCCTACAGCGACTATGCTCTTCTCGGCCGCTAGGAGTGACTTCTCGAGGAGGTCAACAGTGAGAGTGGTGGGACAGACTGAGAGGAAGTGGTCCCTGACTACGCAAAGGGAGTCAGGGAGGCGAGTGACTATGTAGTAGAGAGTGATGTACATGGGGGGGGGTGGTTCTTGGCGCAGAATTCAGCAGGAAGCGCAGCGCGGTAGCGAGTGTCACTAGTGCGGAGGTGCGTAATGAGGTCAGCGACTGTGGGAAAGGCAGCAAGGTCAGGGAAGAGGTACGGTAGCATGAGACGGCTCAGTGCAGCAGTGGCAGGGGAGGAGTAGCGCGAAACTACAGCGTCGTACAAGGTCTGAGCACTCTTGTACTGACTAAAGTGCGCACGCTCGGAGGTAGGGAGGTGGCGACGCACAGCAAGACGTGCACCAGCGTCGCGCGTGGCCCACCGGGAGCGAACAGTGGCGTCAGCATCAGCAGCAGGGGCAGGAGAGGCGCCAGAGGTGAGGTCAAAGTGAGAGTGACCGTCTGCCCTATCGCACTGTAAAAACAGCTGCAGGTCATCTACCCAAACGTCAAAGTCAATGGCTCGACCCTCAGCGTCAAAAGCGAGGACACTAGGCGTAGCCATGACCACAGTAGACTAGCAGTGCAACAGTAGGGTGAGGACAGTGCAGTAAAAGAGGCACTGTGCTTACCGGACAGGGCAGCTCGGGCGGCTCGGTAGTAGGGCGGCTCGGCGGCTCGGCTACTGGGCGGCTGGGCGGCCCGGCTGCTGCGCGGCTCGGCGGCCCCGCGGCTCGACTGTACGGCGGCTCGGCTGCAGGGCGGCTCGACTGCTGGGCGGCTCGGCTGCAAGGTGGCTCGGCTGCTTGGCTGCTGCGCGGCTCGGCGGCTCGGCTGTCCGGCTGCTTGGTTGCCCGGGCGGCTTAGCGGTGTTGCTGCAGGGCGGCGCGGCGGTCGGCTGCTCGGCTGGGTGGGGCGGGTTGGGCAGCTCTGGTGGCGGGCGGCGCTGCAGCAGGGAACGGGGCCGCAGATGAGCGCGGCGGGGCCGCAGGTGAGAGTGGCGGGGCCGCCGGTGAGAGCAGCGGGGCCGCTGATGTGAGCGGCGGGGCCGCAGTTGAGGGCGGCGGGGCCGCAGGTGAGAGCGGCGGGCCGCAGGTGAGAGCGGCGAGGCCGCAGGGAAGGGTGGCAGGGCCGCAGTCGAGGGCGGCGGGACCGCAGCAGAGGGCGGCGAGGCCGCAGTTGAGGGCGGCGGGGCCACAGTTGAGGGCGGCGGGGCCGCAGTTGAGGGCGGCGGGCCGCAGGTGAGGGCGGCGGGGCCGTAAGAAGGGCGGCGACGGGCCGCTGCAAGGGCGGCGACGGCTCGCTGCAAGGGCGGTGACGGGCCGCTGCAAGGGTGGCGGATTGGGGCCGCAAGGGCGGCTGATCGGGGCCGCGGGAGGCTGCTAGGGCGGCGCGACGCGGCCGTTAGGGCGGCGCGACGCGATCGTAAGGGCGGCGCGACGGGCCTCTGAGGGCGACGCGACGAGCCGCTAAGGGCGACGCGACGGGCCGCTAAGGGTGACGCAACGGGGCCGCTAAGAAGGGCGCGACCCTAGGCGCGCTTCGAGCAGGGGCAGGACGCGCCCCGGGCAGGAACAAAAAAGAAGGATCGGTGGGCCCTAGGAACAGTTCCCATGGGGGAACCTGCTCGATACCATGAGAAAGTAAGAATGAGAATGAATGAACTATGAATGAACTGAGTAAAAGTACTAACCCTAATTGGGTTGTACCCCTTATGGGCTACCCCACTATAGCCTACACAATATGCACAAGCTATATGTTCTGACAGAAGCCCGCTTGCACTTGCGCCCATCGCCAAGGGCAATGATGGTTAAAACGTGTGACTCCAGACGAGCCATTGTCTTCGCGGTACCCTTCTGTGACTCACGCAACTCCTCAAACTCCTCGCGTGTGACGTGGCCACCGGTTGCTTCTTTCTGCTTCCTCGAAGATGGCACTTTCAGGGCGTGCTCTTCGTCTGATCCGTCTTCGCCACACGGGTTGTTGCTTGACGACTGACCACAAGCGTGCCCGTCCTTGTCGCCCTCCTCTTCACCTTCCATTTACTCGTCCATCAAGCGTTCCTTCACGGCCTCGGTGTCGTCCTCCACAGGGGGTGCACTCCCGACAATGGGCGTTGAGGCTGTCTCCACGTCGACGGCCCCGACAACATTGGCGTTGCATATCTGCAGCGGCAGTTCTTGAGTCTCTGGGACAGTGGGTGTGGAATGTAGTACGGTGTTAGGTTTGTGTGCACATACGGCCTCACTCACCAGTGTCATCCATTATCACGTCAACATCAAAGGCAATATAATTGTCACGTAGCCCAAGTGCTACCTTCGTTATGCTCCGCCTCCTTATCCTCCTTGCCACTCTTTACAGTGCTGGTCTTGCGCCGCTTGGGCTCCTGTATGCGTCCCCCTTTCTTCTTCCTCTCTGGGTATTGGTATGCATCCGCCAACCATGACGGCGCTTTCTTCTTCCACTTGGAACGACCGCCCTCTGGGTCAGGACTCATCTCGACCTCCAGCGGAGACAGAATCAAAGACCACCTACACCGCAGGTGTCAAGTTTAGGAGTAGAAGAAAGTTTAGAATGAAGAAGAAGGGGGTTCACTAGTAAGCAGTTGAGTACATATAGGAAACCCTAAGTCGGGCTGTACTCACTATTGAGTACCCCACTGCAGGCTAGACAAACATAACATTCTGACACACCCCCATAGCCAAAGTGGGGTGTAATCAGCACAGCAAGCAAAGCAGAACAAGCTCAGGGTGGATCACAATGTCACCACACATTATGAGCACAAGTACAAGAAGCAACAGTTTAAAGTTCACAATTATGAGCAAAGCTAGTGGTAGTCACAGCGGGCAAGTGAGGAGGAGGAGGGACTGTGAGAGGAGAGGAGATAGGAGGCGACGGCTGAAGCTGCAGACACACGGGCAACAGAAGTCACACTGGCACAGTGGTTATTGGAACAACGCTCTGGACTACTGGAGTAACTGCCTCCGCGGCTAAAACTAGCGGCAGACGAGCAACGGACCCACGGGCGACTGGCACAGCTGGCTGCGACTGGGCTACCGGAGCAACTCCCCGGACTACAGGTGCTGATGGCGACACGACGGCAACCTCCGTTCAACCTCCCCAAACAGTCCCACCCCCCTGACACACCCCCTGCTTCACCCCTAGCTCCACTCCCACGTCACCCCCCTAGCACCACTCCTTCGGCTCCCACACACCCACCCCCCTGAGCGGCAGCTGCAGCAGCGGGAGACGGAGGAGGAGGAGGAGCAGGGGACGCCGCTGAGAAATTGCACCCCCATACCCCCCACCCCAAACCCTAATTCAGGAGAACGGGCAGCAGCAGGGGTGGTGCGCCGTCAGAAGCACGGGGGGGCAGCGGGCAGCACAGGGGAAGATGAAACAGGGCGCCCAAGGGCCTGGCGCAGCCCGTACGAACCGGGCGCGGGCGGCCGGAGGCGCGCCCTGGCCTGGCGCAGCCTATACAGGCCGCGCGCGGGCCTGGCGCAGCCCGTACGGGCCGCGCGCGGGCCTGACACAACCTGTACGGGCGGCGCGCGGGCCTGGCGCAGCCCGTACGGGCTGCGCGCAGGCTGTACGGGCCACGCGCGGGCCCTACGTAGGTCGCGCCGGCCACGACGGGCGACGGGGGGCGACGCGCGGGTCCCCGTCGGCCGTCGCAGCGCCTCGCAGGGGCGACGCGCGGAGTGGCGGGGCAGAAAGCCGCCGCGCGCCTCGGGGCGCACGGCGGGCAGCGCGGCGGGAAGAAAAATCCGTCGCACGCCACGGGGCGTGCGACACGCAGAGTAGCAGTAGCAGCGGAAGCAGTGAGGTGGTGAGCCCACCCACAGGATCGACCCAAGGGGATCGACCTGCTCTGATAGCATGTTAAGTTTAGGAGTAGAAGAAAGTTTAGAATGAAGAAGAAGGGGGTTCACTAGCAAGCAGTTGAGTACATATAGGAAACCCTAAGTCGGGCTGTACTCACTATTGAGTACCCCACTGCAGGCTAGACAAACATAACATTCTGACAGCGGGCTCGAAATGGCGTAGTTGGAAACCCGCTTGGGGTTCTGCTCACTATCGCACCAGGCCCATCACCGCCCTCGATGATATCGCGATGCCTGCTAGTGGGTTTGCAGGCCACATAATTTGGCCCAACGTATTGTCCACGCGCACACATGTACGCATGTCACGGCTGGAGTGGCCATGTGGATTACCTTTTAATGTCAGCCACACTTTGCACCTGGAAAATGTCGTCGTGGCACAATCGTGACGCTCTGTGCTCGTCCTCGTCTATGTTAGACGTGATACACCACAAACCCACAGCATCATTTCAACACTTGCGACATCTGCGTCTGACAACATACATTCAATTACAAACTGCTGCAGTGCCACTTGCCCAAATTGTGCTTCCATATACTACATGTGTCCTATTACATTCAGCAACTTCCAAACCACGCCAATCTAACATGCACCCGTACTCAGCCCTGACAAGGTCAACACTAATCCAAAACATCTCTTGGTCCAATGGCTTCCCTATTCAACCCTTCATGCAGCAGTGTCCTCCTTGTTGACCTCCTCCCAGTCATCCTCATCCTCCATGGCATCGCCCTCTAGTTCATACACAGTATCATCGTCAACAGACGCCTCGTCAGCTGTGTAATCCTCCGGTGGGTCCTCAAGTTCAAGAGCCATAGGCTCGTCCTCCGTAGCGGGCGTGGTCGCCTCCACCTCCTCAACATCATGCATGACCCGGGGGACTCTGCCCTTTCGCGGCAAACGGGCCTTGGGCGCCTGGGCATCATCCAGACCCTCCAAGGCGGCTCTCCACTCCCTCCATCTGTTCCAGCGCCTGTACTTCACGAGAAGCCTTAGACTCTCCTCGGTGCAGCCGGCTAGCGCCTGCCTCTCCCCGTCGGACAGCTGCACCGTGCAGCTGATGCGGGAGTTAGGGCGAAGGACAACGGCCCCCGCAGCATACGCGTAAGATTGCCTCGTCCTTGTCCTCGTACGACCCCAGACGAACCTGCTACCGGCGAGCAGATATGATCCGCACGTAGTACCTCTGCTTCACTGCGTTACACATGACTCCCGTCCGTCCGCTGCTTGCGGCCCTTCCGGGGTTACCTGCCGCGGCAGGCACGGGAGTCGAGGCGCGGCTGCGCAAGGCTAGTGCAAGTTGGACGCGCTCTTGTTGCCGAACCACAGCAGGTGTCGCTACGCCAACAGCTACATGGCCATGGTTTCCAGGTCGAAAATGCGCCCGGAAGAAGCAGACTTTCGAGACTCAAAAGTGGTCTCGAGGTCGAACATCCGTTCTAACGGAGAGTGATCCACTTCTTTGGGCGCCATCGTCTCTAGCTGAGAAACTGGTATATTTCTGAACTTATTGGGTTCGTCGGGGAAAAAATGACGTGTTGGAGAGTTGGGTGTCTTTGGATGTGTGTTGTGGGCTGCTTGGGTGGATAAGTGAAAGTCAGAATGGCGCGCGGTATTTGTGCAAAAAGTGCACAGACACGTTCGAGGTTTACCTCAAACCCAGGCAAACCTTGTCCGTCAAAGGGAATGCGGTTGAGCGCCACGTTTGGCCTGACGTGGCTCCAAGGCTCAGCGGCGTGTCTTGATGCTGCAGGTGCAGGCTCCTTGCTTGCTCGTGAATCACCAACTGAGGGTTTCTGTTGGCTGCGATAGCCGGCAAAATCCCAACGTGGGATGCTAGTCCGCACCAGCGCCCCCCAAGAGCCCCGCGTGGGTTGTCAACTGGGCCGGTGGCGAGAGTGTTGGTTACAGCTTCGCTTTCGCTTTTGACAGAGCAAGCCCCCATTGGGCTGCTTGGCATATCAATAGGGTACACCTAACCACCGCTATTTTCTTTTGGTCTATTTTCAACCCCACTTGCACAAGTGGGGTATGCACCCTTTCTAAATCTGTGACCGAGGGTTATGTGGGGCATCATTAAATTTTAGCGAGAGTCTGTTCCAGATCCTTGAAGAGAGTACTGTAGAAGTGGCGCTATGGATTCAGATTCGCATAATGAGTTTAAACTTCGAGCAGTAGGCGTCATTCATAGCCCCAGTCATCTAACCAGGCCCTCAGATATCAGCGTAAAACACGCTGATTACGCTGATTTTGTAGCTGTGATTTTCGTTTTCCCTGAAAATTCAGCATATGCCTCAATTTTGCACTGAAATTTCAGTATAACCTACGTTGCCACACTGACCATTTTGCGTGTTGCTGTACAAGTAACACTGACGAATCAGTATAGTGACGTGAGTCACACTGAAACGGAGTTGACCGCGCATGTGTGTGGGGGGGGGGGGGGGGGGGAGGGGGGATGATAGGGTACGCGTGTCCTATCTGTACCTTCCCGTGATTCCTGACACCCCACCCACACGCTTGGCATTTTTTCGCATGCACTGCACAGATATCAGGTGCGTGCCACTGGAACCTATCACAGCAACAACAGCACACACCTTGTACTGGGGTTTCAGCTATAGTTTTTTGTTTCTACACTGTTGGTTCAGTTTACTTATGATTTTTACACTAGCAAAATCAGTATAAAAAAAACAGTGAACGCTGATTTGGACACCTCATTGGCCGGGACACGCTGATCCATCAGCATACCCTCAAACCAATCTGAGGGCCTGCATCTAAGTTTCGAACTGAAATAGTCGAAAACGTGCAGGGAAACTTTGAAACGCGAGATTAGTGGGCTGGGTTTCCCCTTGAAAATAGCGGTGGTTAGGTGTATCTCCGCCTGATCCGAAGCAGATATGAAGTGTGCCTGGTCGAAATTCGCTGTACAATTGATGCCTGTTTGAGCCCCTCCCGGTTGCCTTGTGAAGGGGGCGTATAAGCTGTAACGAGCATTTCGCATAATTTTCGTCAATTCGCAGCTAGCTAAAAAGGATTCGCAGGTGCTTATAACCAAGATCTGTTACCTTATTTGACTTCAGTCTCTTCTGCTTGACCTCAGTCTGTTCGTTACTATTGGTTGATAACCACGCGACGCGCTTTTAGCGTGGGAGCAACAGGCTGGGGAAACAACCTCGGGTGCAGCGTTTCCATCCGGCGCAAGGCAAATCCGCGTGCACTGGTTGGGCATCAATTGTAATTCGCGAAGATGGTACTGTAGAACCAGTACATTTGCGACGTCGGAATTATCTTGAGCCCGCGTGCAGCTTTTGATGTAGGCGCCTATAATCAGTCTCAGAAGGATATCTAAGCGCATGCAAAATCAAAGATATTTCTTATACGTTACATGCTGTTGTATTTGTTTGAAATTTTGTCCAGCAATATATAATCATGGTACCTTACAAGGACTATTGCAAGCTCCTTCCTGTAGTAATATTCATTCAGTTTCCGCAGCATTCCGTACGGGTTTGGTAACACCCCCCTACTGGTTCGGGTAGGATGATGTGAGAACAGAGTGATTAACACTTGTCAATCCACAACCACTGATTAAATCCAGCAAAGCAAGATAGCTCATCATTGTGCCAGACAATCAAACCCATTATTACTAGTGAATCTACCATTCTCCGTTGCAGAGTCTGTCACAGCTCGTATGAATGCAGCAAATTAAGAGTGTATTTCTACAACTCTTTGTCCAGGGCATTAACCCGTTCCTCCAGCTCCTTAGCCTTCTTGTCCAGAGTGGCGATGCGTGCAGCTGTCCACGCCAGAGGAGAGAGAAAACGCACGCATGAGAGGGACGGGGAGGAGAAAGAATGCGCACGCATGATAGGGATGGGGGAGGGTTACAGGATCGGCTGTGAGATGACTACATAAGCAACTTGGCAGGTAGCATGGGTGTGATGTGAGAGGCGATTTGTGAGGTGGTTAAAAAACAGGGACGGAGGAGGGTTACAGGATGGGCTGTGAGATGACAACCCAAGCAACTTGGCATTGGCAGGTAGCATGGGTGAGTGAGGGAGATGGTGCGAGAGAGATGGCTTTTGAGTCGACTCAACAGTAGCGATGCATGCAGCTGTCCACGCCAAAGGAGAAAGAACATGCACGCATCGCTACTGCATGATAGCGACGGGGGAGGGTTACAGGACAGGCTGTGAGAGTGAGATGGCAACCCAAGCAACCTGGCAGGTAGCATGGGTGTGAGTGAGGGAGATGGTGGGAGGGAGATGGTGCGAGGGAGATGGTGTGAGGGAGATGGTGTGATGGAGATGATCGTGTGAGGGAGATGGTGTGAGGGAGATGGTGTGAGAGAGATAGCAAGGCAACCTGCACATAGATAGCAAGGCAACCTGCACATAGATAGCAAGGCAACCTGCACATAGATAGCAAGGCAACCTGCACATAGATAGCAAGGCAACCTGCACATAGATAGCAAGGCAGCCTGCACATAGATAGCAAGGCAACCTGCACATAGATAGCAAGGCAACCTGCACATAGATAGCAAGGCAACCTGCACATAGATAGCAAGGCAACCTGCACATAGATAGCAAGGCAGCCTGCACATAGATAGCAAGGCAACCTGCACAGAGATAGCAAGGCAACCTGCACATAGATAGCAAGGCAACCTGCACATAGATAGCAAGGCAACCTGCACATAGATAGCAAGGCAACCTGCACATAGATAGCAAGGCAACCTGCACATAGATAGCAAGGCAACCTGCACATAGATAGCAAGGCAACCTGCACATAGATAGCAAGGCAACCTGCACATAGATAGCAAGGCAACCTGCACAGAGATAGCAAGGCAACCTGCACATAGATAGCAAGGCAACCTGCACATAGATAGCAAGGCAACCTGCACAGAGATAGCAAGGCAACCTGCACATAGATAGCAAGGCAACCTGCACATAGATAGCAAGGCAACCTGCACATAGATAGCAAGGCAACCTGCACATAGATAGCAAGGCAACCTGCACATAGATAGCAAGGCAACCTGCACATAGATAGCAAGGCAACCTGCACATAGATAGCAAGGCAACCTGCACATAGATAGCAAGGCAACCTGCACAGAGATAGCAAGGCAACCTGCACATAGATAGCAAGGCAACCTGCACAGAGATAGCAAGGCAACCTGCACATAGATAGCAAGGCCGCGAGGGAGACAATTAGCGTTACTGTGCGGAGTGAGGGAAAACACGCAATTGTGATTGTGCAGCAAGAGTGAGGTCCGGACTGAGTGCAGCAAGAGTGAGGTCCGGACTGAGTGCAGCAAGAGTGAGGTCCGGACTGAGTGCAGCAAGAGTGAGGTCCGGACTGAGTGCAGCAAGAGTGAGGTCCGGACTGAGTGCAGCAAGAGTGAGGTCCGGACTGAGTGCAGCAAGAGTGAGGTCCGGACTGAGTGCAGCAAGAGTGAGGTCCGGACTGAGTGCAGCAAGAGTGAGGTCCGGACTGAGTGCAGCAAGAGTGAGGTCCGGACTGAGTGCAGCAAGAGTGAGGTCCGGACTGAGTGCAGCAAGAGTGAGGTCCGGACTGAGTGCAGCAAGAGTGAGGTCCGGACTGAGTGCAGCAAGAGTGAGGTCCGGACTGAGTGCAGCAAGAGTGAGGTCCGGACTGAGTGCAGCATCTCGCTACAAAGAAAGGGGAAGCATAGGGGAGAGGGGGGGGCGCCTTCAGAGACGTCTCAGAATAGTGCAGCAAGAGTGAGGTCCGGACTGAGTACAGCATCTCGCTATGGGGATGAGGGGAAGCTTTGAGGAGAGGGGGCTTTGAGGAGAAGAGTGAACTGTTGTAAGGGGGCGGGAGCAGGAGCAGGAGCAGGAGCAGGGGTTAGAATCATACTGAGTTCAGCCTTGTCGTTATGCAGGTGAGGGGAGTGTGGGGGAGATAGGGAGTGGGTCTGTGGGGGCCTGTGGGTGACATACTGGTCTCACTCTTCTCCTTGTGCCATGCCTGCTTGTCCTCATCAACCTTCTCCTTGCACCCAAACATTGTGCCGCGCCCCTTGTGCGCCGCCTCCTCCGTCTCATTCGCCTTATTCAGTGTGACACATAGAACGAGGAAACTTGAGAACCAGTTCAAGACAGGAACCAGTTCAAGACAGGAAGACAAGGCCTTACTGATTTCGCTCTTCTCGTTCTGCCACGCCTCCTTGTCCTGGTCGACCTTCTCCTTGCACTCAAACATCCTGTCCCGCCCCTTGTGCGCCGCCTCCTCCGTCGCATTCGCCTTGATCTCCATCGCCTCCTTCCGCTCCGCCGCAACCTTCTCCACCGCTCTGCACTCCTCCAGATCTTTTTTCTCCCGCCAGCACTCGCCTTTACCGGTAGTGGCGGCGGCGGTGGTGGTGTGGAGAGGCGTGGTTAGGGCGATGGCGAGGAGGAGAAGGAGGAGGAGGCAGGTGGGAGGGAGCGAGGCCCTCATTCTGGCGATCGTTGCAACCATTCGTCCCAACGACCTGACACGGGAAAGAGGAAGGAAGAAAGGGTTTTGAGACGGCTCAAAACACTTCTTCATACAGGTGGGACGGAGCGAGGCCCTCATTGTGGCGATCGTTGCAATCGTTCGTTTCAGCAACCTGACACGGGAAAGAGGAAGGAAGAAAGGGTTTTGAGACGTCTCAAAACACTTCTTCATACAGGTGGGAGGGAGCGAGGCCCTCATTGTGGCGATCGTTGCAATCGTTCGTTTCAGCAACCTGACACGGGAAAGAGGAAGGAAGGAAGGGAGATGGAGGGACGGGGACGATGTTGTGACGCTCGTGTTGATCGATCTGACGTGGAAACGCGGAAAGAGCGGAAGGAATGGAGAGTGTGGGTGTGTGGTGGGGAGGAGGGGAGGGAGGGGTGGTGGTGGGCGGAATGGAAGCGAAGCACTTTGGAGAGGGCCCCGGCCGGAAATCGGTGTGAAGAGCGGGGAGAGCGGGGAGAGCGGGGAGAGCGGGGAGAGCGGGGAGAGCGGGGAGAGCGGGAAGAGCGGAGAGAGCGGGAAGAGCGGGGAGAACGGGGAAGTGCGGGGAAAACGGGAAGTGCGGGGAGAACCGGAAGTGCGGGGAGAGCGGGCGTAAGGGTTCCATATAGCATCATCCGTTATGACTGCCCTCTTTCAGTCCATCGGTAAGCTGCCTGGACTCTGGAAGCGACAAGCAGATTTGCGCGAGAAACGGTGAGTTTTGAAGAGACGAAAGGACGGGAAAGCCGCATCATGCGGCGGCGAGCATTGGATCGTCGCGGCGGCGATTGAAAAAGAATAGCCACGTGATAAAAGTGCTGCTTCGAGACGCCTCAAAACAACGCTTATTTCATTCGGCGGCGAGCCGCATTGGATCGTCGCGGCAACTGAAAAGCGGGACGAAGCGAAACGGGACGCGAGAAGAGTTTTGAGACGCCTCAAACACGGCGACGAAGCGAACGTCACGGTCCCGGGACGTGAGACGGCCGGAGTGAAGCGGCGATGGACAGCAGGTGACGCCGTGAGTGCGGGAGTGGTGGGTGAGTGCAGCAAGAGGAGAATCAACAAAAATGAAGCGATAATGATTAGTACCTCCCACGGAGATATTGAGGCGAATTTGAGGCGAATCAACAAAAATGAAGTGATGGGGAGAAAATTGACGGGAACGGTGGGCGCGCGCGTTAAGAGGAGGAGGGCACCTGTAACGAAGGGTGACAGTGAGCAATGCCGCGAAGCCGCAAAAGGCTTGAGGCGTCCCGCTAGCGATGACGGTAATCGGCGCGGCGAGTAGCGAAGAGTGGCTGGAATGGAAAGGAAGGAGTAATGTGCGCTGGCTGCGCTGATGCCTGAAAATGAGGCACTCCCTTAAGCTAGGTAAGGTCCCTCGAGAACATGCGTGGCTGTGGTGGTGAGGTATTCGCGGTAATCTCGGTCTTGACTTGACTGGTTGACTAGAGGTGTGCGAGGGAGGAAGATAGGGGTTAGGATGGGTGTGTGTAGGGAACGGAGTGGTGAACCGAAATCCGCGTTACATAAGCAGCTCGATACGCGTTGTGGAAGGTTCTAGTAGTCGCGGCGTGCTGCACATTTCACTGTGCAAAGCCACCACGAACTGAACTGGACCAAACTCACCCCCACCTTGAGAAAGTCGCGAAGCTGGCGACGAAGACGAAAACGGTAACACGAATTTGTGTCAAATGCCAAATTTCTCAATACTGAACCCTCCTTGGCCCCCAAAACCCCTCATACTGTGTCACAATTTTGAAAGCCAGGAACCTTATCCATTCAATAGTTTCGCGTCGCCTGCATCCGTCGAATCCGGCGTTTCGCCAACGGCCTTCCGCGACCTTCGTTCCTCTCGTTAGCCCCTCCGCGGAATCAATCTCCACGTGGCACCAGTTCACCGGAAGATTTCCCAAAATGGCGCCCGCGGCTGACTCCGCTCCGCCAAGGAGCACTCCCGCGCAGCCGTCTGATGCGCAAGCCTCCGCCGCTGCGGCGGAGCCCCCGCCCGCGGATTCCCCGCCTCCACGGATTCAAACCATAGAGGACTTTGTAAAAGTTCACGAAATGTTGTTACTCGCGACAGGGTTACCTCGCGAGCTCTACCCGCGACTGTTCGAGAAGATCATGGCGGAAAGATTCGATGCGGGCAGCAGATTCGCGATCGAGGAGGTGGAGGGCGGGCGGCAGAGGCGCGTCGTGCTGACACCTGGCGGGCAGGGATTGGACGCGCAGGGTGACGTGTTTTTGGTGGACCACGCGTGGTCGTTCCGATTGGGCCAGGCGCGCGAGCAGGCACGACTTGGGGGGGGGGGAGTGTGGAGGGGGGAGGGGAGGGGGGGAAGCGGGGGGGGAAGGCGGGCATGAACGCGAGCCGGCACGTGTGGGGAAAGAGTGTTGTGGGGGGAGTGGGGAGCGTGCGGGAGTCACATCACATATGATAATTCGCGAAAAGCAGGGGGGATGGATGGCAGCGCGGATGGCGGATCTCATGTGATGCTGCGCATACCCCCCCCCCCCCCTCCCCTCACCCGGGACCCCACACATTCCAGCTTCTTCCCCCCATCCCTTCCCCCACTTCTCCTCCCCTCCTCTCGCAGCTGGAGAGCCTTGATCCACCCGCCCCTTCCCCCTGGGACCCCGCATCACACAATCCCCCACACTCCCCCATCTCCCCCATCCCTTCCCTTCATTCTTCCCCCTCCTGCCGCAGCTGGAGAGCCTCCCCAAGCTGGCGGCGCGGATGGCGGCTCTCATGCGCCGCTGCTCCTTTTCTTCTCCCTCTGACCCACTCCCCCCATCCCTTCCTCCACTTCTCTCCCCCCACTCTTCTCGCAGCTGGAGAACCTCCCCAAGCTGGCGGCGCGGATGGCGGCTCTCATGTGCGTTGGGGGGGAGGACGAGGGGGAGGAAGAGGGGGAGGGTGAAGGGGAAGGGGAGGGGGAGGGGGAAGGGGAGGTGGGAGGAAATGGAGAGGGGAAAACTGTAGGCGCAGAGAAGGCTGAGGAAGAAAGCAAGGGCGGAAAGTCCGTCGATGAAATCATCTCACGGGCAGTTCGGGCGGCTGTGGACGCACGAATCCCGGGAACAGATGGGACAACGGGACGTGGAGAGGCGGAGGGAGGGGCGGAGGGGCAGGTGGAGAGCGGTGTGGAGTGGTTGGAGATGGACGGGGAGGGGATTGATGATGCCATGCTTGCTGCTATGAACCTGCACGAGCGCTTCCCTGTGAGTCCCACTAACGAGGCTGCCTATAGAGGGTACAGTGAAGGGGGTTTTGTTTCAACAGAGTGTCGCTTGTCGCTCTGTGTTCTTTTTGCACTACAGTCAGCCTGCACTGTTGTCGGTCACTGTCGCTGCCGCTGCCACTGTCGCGGTCGCACACTCATCTACCTGTCAAGTCTCTGTCTTGACCTACCTAGTTCCGTTGATCCTCACCTCATCGTTAGAATTCAGTATCGAGGATATAAGACGAATCTACCATAACAGCAACAGCAGCAGCAACAGCAGCAGCAGCAGCAGCAGCAGCAGCGGCGGCGGCGGCGGCGGCGGCGGCGGCGGCGGCAGCAGCAGCGGCGGCGGCGGCGGCAGCAGCAGCAGCAGCAGCAGCAGCAGCAGCAGCAGCAGCAGCAGCAGCAGCAGCAGCAGCAGCAGCAGCAGCAGCAGCAGCAGCAGCAGCAGCAGCAGCAGCAGCAGCAGCAGCAGCAGCAGCAGCAGCAGCAGCAGCAGCAGCAGCAGCAGCAGCAGCAGCAGCAGCAGCAGCAGCAGCAGCAGCAGCAGCAGCAGCAGCAGCAGCAGCAGCAGCAGCAGCAGCAGCAGCAGCAGCAGCAGCAGCAGCAGCAGCAGCAGCAGCAGCAGCAGCAGCAGCAGCAGCAGCAGCAGCAGCAGCAGCTGCAGCAGGCCTAGCAAAGCTCACGCTCTTAGGTCTGCGGGGCAACAATAACGCCTGCGAGCCTAAGTTGGTCATTTACGCCATTTCAGCCCACGTACACGTAACGTACGCGTACATGTACGTTTACGTGTACGTACGCGTACGTACGTGTACGTACGCCGGGCAGGTCAGAAAAAAAAATATGCGTTGAAATTTCTTTGAAAACGGTTTCCGAAAAAACTAAAAAAGAAAAAATCTTTCGATGACCTGTGCTCTGTTAGCGTGTTAGCAAAACGGCGCGACGTTTTTCAAAGTAGTAATGTAAGAAACAGGAAGGTTGCTAGCTAGGGTCGCTATGGTGTGGCGACTACCCTACGTACTATGTCGACTAAGGCGGCAGAACTACGATAGCTAAGTCTGTCGAGAGAGGGAGGGAGGAAATTGTGGTGGGAGTAGATTTGAATGTGTGCAAACTGTTCGCGATAGAACATTGCGAACAGTTTGACTCAGATTGCGATTGCTTCGTTTGCAAGGTAAGCGAATGTCACCCGCTCGGTAGTTTCGTCACCGCCGAGGTTCACTGGTTTCGGCGAATCCCAACTTCGAGTCAAACCAATTCGCCGAGTCAAATCTAAATCTACACTACATGATGGAATTTTTACACTGTATGATGGAAATTATGATTACGAGGGAAAAGTATAGAGAAAATAAACATATCCGGGCAGCCCAGAAAATTTTTCACCTGCCCGTAAATTAGGCCTCCAACCCAACAGCCGCGTAAACGTACGTACCCGTACACGTACGTACGTAAACGTAAATGACCAACTAAGCTGCGAGCCTATCTACCCGCAGGCAGACCAGGTCTGACCAGGTCGGAGCTTGAACCTGCCTATCTGTGGTGTTGGACAAACGGCTCCCCTCTCTTTGCTCGCACTTTCCTGTTTCCGTGACGGACGTTTTTTGAGACGTTTCACGAATCAGCCTTTGGGGCGACTAAGTCACATCCTCACGTTAACATAGTCTTAATCTTCCCGCTATTGTCGCAATTCCACTTCACACTATTACCCTGTATCACCCTTCCCAACTCCCTCACCACCAGAACCTGGTGGGTCTGAGCCTCTGGGGTAACCGCCTCACGGACGCTGCTCGAGTGGCCTCCCTGCTCTCTCCTCTCACCTCCCTGCATGCGCTCTGGCTCAACAACAACCCGTGTGCTGCCACCGAGTGAGTAAGATGGGAGTGCTTTCACATGCGTGACTCATGTTGCGGTCGTAGAGAGAAAGGTTCTCCGGTCACCCCCCTCCTCGCGCTCCCTGCATGCCTGCCCATGCACTCTGTTCTGAGAGATTTATTTGCTCCTCCTCACTTCCTACCCTCTCTCCCCTCCTCTCCTGCATGCTCTAACATGCCCGCTGCTCCTACTCTAAACTAAAAAACACTCTCCTCCCTCCCGCCCAAGAACGATTCACCTGCCAATGAATCCTCCCCTTCATCCGCCACAGTACAATGTGGGTGCTGCACTCACTCACAATGTCATCCCTGCTACATTCCTTCCGTCTGACCCCCCTCCTCACCTCCACCGTCCTCTCACCCGTGCTCTTACTCACAGGTCCGCTGCTGCTGCTCTGAGAAACGCTCTCCCTGGATCCCTCCTCAGTAGCTGAACCTACTCACACTGCTGCTGCCACTCGCCTCCTTCCCTCTTCCTCTCCTACACTACACTACCCCGCCATCCCTTGCGTCCCCCCATGCCGCCGCAGGTCCGCCGCTGCTGATCTGAGAAACGCCCTCCTTGAGTCTCTCCCCAATCTCGAGCTGTTCAACCGCCACTTCACCCGCCGCTATTCCACCTGGGCGCTGCTCTTCGCTGCTGATGTGGTGGGCCCTAACCGTGCCAAGTTGGACGATGACGTGGCGGCTGCTGAGCTGGCGCGGTTGACTGAAGTTGACTTGTCTGACCGGGGGATCGTGGAGCTAAAGCAAGAGGTGTGACTGATTGGGATGAGATGAGACGGGTTCAAAGCATGGAAATAAGGGCGGACGAGGTTTGACTTGGGCTGATGTGAGTTGAATTGGGTTGACACACCGCTATCTCCCTCTCTTCCCATTCCTCCTCTTCACCTTCCCATTCCCCTTCCCATGTACCTGCCACTCTCCCTGCTTCTCTAAATGTCATCTCCTCCTCTATACACTCCTCCCAGCCCTCTCACTCACAACAACCGCTTGCCCAAACAGCCCCCATTTGCCTCCCTTGCCTGCTTGCTTTCACTCCTCTCAAAACCCGTCCCCATGTTTCCCTCTTCCTTATCCCTGCCCCTCTCCCACATTTTCTTCTCTGCTATTCGTTGACTCTACAGGTCTTCTCCCCATCGTTCCTCCATGCCCTCGCCCATATCAACCTCTCTCACAACCCGCTCCCACTCTCCCCACTCGCCCCCATCGACGCCTCTCGAGCCTCTGTGCTGCTGCCCCTCGCCTTGCTTCCCTCGCTGCGCTCTCTGCAAGTAAGTGCGGTGTTAATGGGTGCTGGTGGAACCTGCTGGGCACGGCTGGGTTCCGATGGGTGCTGCTCTGTGCTGATGGGTGCAAGTGAATTGAGCTGTGCATTACTGCTCCTCGTCTCGCTTCCCTCGCTGCGCTCTCTGCGCATGTAAGTGTGGTGCTGCTTGGTACTGGTGGGTGCAAACAAGGTCAGGTGTACATTGGTGGGCTCCGATAGCTTCCGTAATCTCTCCGCTTCACGCTGTCTGCTTCTGTTCAGCTTATTGCTGCGTTGAAATCACTTCTGAAATTTCTTGAAGGTGATTTCAGTAGTCTTGCCTCGTCATGCTGCTCTCTGGTTCTGTTCAGCTTATTGCTGCTGCCCCTCACCTCACCTCTCCACGAGCCCCTTCCACTTTCCCCTTGCATGTGCCCCTTTTCAAAACTACCTCCCGCACCTCTACTTCCACCCACCCAGCTGGGCCTAGAAGGCTCCTCTATCTTTGATCTGTGTCACACAGCATCCTCTCCTCCCCGCTGTCTCTCCTCCCTCAACGTCACCTCCTCTTGCCGCGTGGCTTCCCTTCCTTCTGCGCGCTTCCCCATTGGATCTGGAAGGAGTTCTTCCCTTTGTTTTTCTTCCTCATCGTTCTCCGCTTTGACCCTGATCAAGCAGCTCTAACTTTCGCCCCGCCCACCTCGCTTTCCATTTCCACCACCCCTTCCCCCACCACTCCTCGTTTGCCCTGTCATTCCCAGGTGGACCTGGAAGGCCCCTTCCCCTTCGACCCATATGATGCAGCTTCAACTCTCCCCCGCCTCTCCTCCCTCAATGGCGCTCCGCTTCCCTCCTTTATGCGCGGAGGTTCCTGGATGTTTCCTCGCCTGCCAGCCTGGCAGCCTGGCACGCCATTGGTGGATCGAGTGCTGCTTGCCATGTGGCGCCACGTGTGCAGCTACAAGCTCGCTACTGAAACACAGCTGGACGAGAGTGCTGTGTGGTGAGTGGGTATGCATTGCACCACACTGCACCACACTGCATCGCACTGCACCACACTGCACTGCATTTAGTCCGTCGCTCTGAGTGATGGAGCACTGACTAGGAATGCTGGGTGCTGTATGGCATGTGGCACCACATGTGCTGCTACAAGCTCGCCACAGAAACTCAATTGGACGAGCCACGAGACACGAGACACGAGCCACGAGACACGAGCCACGAGACAGGAGAGTGCAGTGTGGCGAGTCTTGAGACGTCTCAAAACTCAACTTGAGTGCTGCAGGGTATTTTTTAGAATTCTCAAAAACACCCTGCGGCAAAGGACTACGTTCATGCAGTACTGTTGTTTTCTGTTGCTATATACTGACGGCATACCGCATGCGATGCCATGTAGTAGTGTTTTCTGTTGCATGTACTGACACTGTACCACATGCCATGCAATAGCCTCTTCCTCCCCCTCCCCACAGTTCTCTTTACACCTGTTTCCCACAATCTCGCTTGTTGCTCTCCTCATGCTCCTCCCACTTCCACACCCTGCCACAACCCCTCACACCCCTCCACACCCACCCGCACCCCCACACCCCACCCTACACCCCACCCCACCCCACCCCGCATCCCAGGTACATGATGGACGAGTTGACTTTTGAGTCGACTCAAAAGTCACAACGACCGCCCCAACGTCCTTTTGTTGCTCTCCGTATTCTCCTTCCACACCCTCCTGCAACCCCTCACATTCCCACATACCCCCCCCACCCACTCCTTCCCCCAACCCCCATCAGGTACGTGATGGACGAGTTCGGCAGTGCCTTCTGGCACAGCGACCGCCCCAACTTCCGCTGTGCGCCCTTCCTCTTGACCACCTGCGCAAGCTGCCCGTGCCCTATCCCTGCGTCCCCATCCTCTCTCCCTTACCTCCTCTGCTCATCCTCTCTCCCTCTCCCCGCTTCGCCATCCTCTCCCCCCCCCCAGGTATGTGATGGACGAGTTTGGCAGTGCCTTCCGCCACAGCGACCGACCCAACTTCCGCTGTGCGCCCTTCCTCTTCCTGCCTGATGGCTCCTTCGCCTCTGCTGTCAGGTATGGGGCGGGTATAGTTAAAGGTGCATTTTGTATGGTATGCCTTCCTTTCCTTCTAAACCAACTTCCGCTGTGCGCCCTTCCTCTTCCTGCCTGATGGCTCCTTCGCCTCTGCTGTCAGGTATGGGGCGGGTATAGATAAAGGTGCATTTTGTATGGTATGCCTTCCTTTCCTTCTAAACCAACTTCCGCTGTGCGCCCTTCCTCTTCCTGCCTGATGGCTCCTTCGCCTCTGCTGTCAGGTATGGGGCGGGTATAGTTAAAGGTGCATTTTGTATGGTATGCCTTCCTTTCCTTCTAAACCAACTTCCGCTGTGCGCCCTTCCTCTTCCTGCCTGATGGCTCCTTCGCCTCTGCTGTCAGGTATGGGGCGGGTATAGTTAAAGGTGCATTTTGTATGGTATGCCTTCCTTTCCTTCTAAACCAACTTCCGTTGTGCGCCCTTCCTCTTCCTGCCTGATGGCTCCTTCGCCTCTGCTGTCAGGTATGGGGCGGGTATAGTTAAAGGTGCATTTTGTATGGTATGCCTTCCTTTCCTTCTAAACCAACTTCCGCTGTGCGCCCTTCCTCTTCCTGCCTGATGGCTCCTTCGCCTCTGCTGTCAGGTATGGGGCGGGTATAGTTAAAGGTGCATTTTGTATGGTGTGCCTTCCTTTCCTTCTAAACCAACTTCCGCTGTGCGCCCTTCCTCTTCCTGCCTGATGGCTCCTTCGCCTCTGCTCTCAGGTGAGAGTGCGGTGTGCTCTCAGGTGAGAGTGCGGTGTGCTCTCAGGTGAGAGTGCGGTGTGCTCTCAGGTGAGCCTGGGCCTGGGGGTGTAAATTGTCAGGTAATCTGTTGTCAGGTGGGTGTGGGTGTGCTGTCAGGTGAGCGTGGGGCTGTGCTGTCAGGTGAGCGTGGGGCTGTGCTGTCAGGTGGGAGTTGTAGTCCTTGCGAGTGATTTTTGAGAATTCTCAAAAATCACTCGCAATGGGTGTGGGGCTGTGGCTGTCAGGTGAGCGTGGGGATGCACTGTGGCTATCAGTGTGCTGGGTTTCTGGTAAGCCATCCTTCCTTCGAAACCAACTTCTGATGTGCGCTCTTCCTCTTCGTGGCACATTGCTCTTTCTCCTTTGCTGTCATTTTGTTGTCAGGTGGACTTTCTGTCAGGTGAATTTTCCCTCAGGTTGTTTGTTGGCCCAGAACCTCAGATCTCCCCCCACCCACTCCCTCCTCCCTTCCTCATGCACTGCTGCCCCTCCCAGCTACTCACTCGTGTGGCCGCGGGCAGCAGTGCAGCAGGGAGAGGAATGTACGAGGGACTATCTCGCCGGGGTGGGGGAGGATTGCCTTCCTCTCATCGCCTCTCGTCTCACGCATTGCCCCTCCCTGCCCTCCCATACCTGCGCAGCTGCGCTCTCCTCTCTGCTCACATGGCTCCTCTCTGTTCTCCTCCCTTCCTCCAGCTACTCGCTGGTGTGGCCGCTGGCAGCAGTGCAGGCGGGGGAGGAGTGCACAAGGGATTATCTCGCCGGGGTGGGGGAGGAGCAGCAGCGCTCCGCCAAGCTTTCTGTTTGGTTTCACACACCCTCAAGCGCATTCCAGCAAGTACGGCATCTCTCTCGCTCCCTCCTCAACTCTCAAGTTACTTTTTCTCCCTTGTGCATCAAACGTAAGGGCAGCAGCAGCAGTCTCTCAGGCTGTCTCTGTGGCTCCACGCGCCCTCCACTGCTTCCAGCAAGTACACTAACTTTCACTGCTCCTTTCACTCCCTTGTAGTTTGAGCTCAAGGGCGCCGGCTACAGTTTCCGTGCAGTTCCTCACACCCACTCTCCCGCGTGCATTCTAGCCAATTCAAAGGGCGGCAGGGACCGTTTTTCACCACACAGGCCACGCCCCATCTTATCCCATTTCAAACCAAGCCTCCCTCAAAGCGCCTCTCCTCTTCCTCTCCTTTCACCTCTCATCATGTCATCACACTTCACCCACGCCATCCTATCCCACAACTCCATCCATCCCACCCCATCCCACTCCATCCCATCCCAACTCATCCCACCCCACGATACCCCTCTCCACCACGCCCCAGGCCTATGAGCAGCGCCTGTGCAGGTTCGCAGCAGCGTCTGCAAAGAACGCAGAGGCAACCGCTTTTCTTGCTTGTGCCGAACCCGACAATAAAGAGGACAACGCAGGAGGAGGAGAGGCTGGTGGAGCAACAGGCAAACCAGAGAAAGCAGACGAGCCGGAGAAGCTGGAAGAAGGGAAGCGGGTTTATCGAGTGTTCAGCGATCTTCCACACGTCCTCGACACACTCTCCCGCCCCGAATTCACTTTTGGTAAGTGCTTCAATCAAGTAGATGGGGGGAGCAGGGCAAGGCGGGGAAGCGAGTGTATCGAGTCCACAGCGGTCTGCCCCATATCCTTGACAACCTCTCCCGCCCTGACTTCACTTTTTGGTGAGTGAGTGAGTGACCGGGTCAGCCTTTGTGAAGCTATGTTAGCCAAGGGAGGGGCAAGCTGGGGAGCATCGCATGTGCTCTCTTCCGCATGTGTTCTCTTGAGGCGCCTCATCTCTTGAACGACCTGCTCCGGGCTCATGCTTGGTAAGTCGTTTATCTCTAGTTAGCCATCCCTAGCTAGCGATAGACGACCCACCAAGCATGTTAGCTTGCCCTCTATGCCGTACTCGCCACATACCTCTCTAGCGAGGCGACAGCTTTCTTTCCCAATATCTCTCAGAAGTTTTCCTTTTATCTTTCTTTCTTTGTGTGTGTTTGTATGCGTTGACGCTGTTCCTTTCACCATCGACCTTCTGTAAAAGAATTATTCACGCTATAGACACTCACTGTGCTCTCTCCCTTGTACACTGGAGTGCACTGGCGAGGCGGATATGATCTGGATGGGCTGGCTGGTGGACTTGCATTCAGTACAAGCAGGTGGACAATGTATTCAGAGAATCAAGGAAGGGAGGAGGAGGCGTCACAATTGAGTTGCTGCTCTCTCATCCCCCTTCCTTCCTCCCCAATTGATGCCCCCACTGAGGCAAATATTATCTGCCAGGTAAGCATTGTCTGATTGATGCGTTCAGATCAGAGAAGCAAGGGAGGAGTGGAGGAGCTATGTTAACTGGGCTCTCTCTTCTCCCTCCCCCACCCTTTATCCCCTCTTCCCCCTCCCCCAGTGGACGCCCCCAGCGAAGCAGACATCATATGGACGAGCATGCAGGTGGACGATGCTTTTCGAGAGGCTAGAGAGGTCATAGAGAGCCGTCAAAGATAGGTCTTCCCCCCTATCTTCCTTACCCCCCCCCCCCCCCCCCCCCCCCCCACACCCACCTCTTATCCTCTAGTTGACTCACCAAGCGAGGCGGACATCATATGGACGAGGCGTTCAGAGAGGCGGCTGGGCTGAAGGAGAGGCGAAGCTGAATTCATGCTCGTGCTTCCCCTGTTCCCCAACCAACCGCCAAAACCTCCAACTGCCTTTCAGTTGACGCACCCAGCGAGGCGGACATCATCTGGACAAGCATACAGGTGGACGATGCGTTCAGAGATGCGGCTGGGCTGAAGGAGAGGCGGGAGAAGGGCGGGCAGGAGCCGTTGGTGAACCAGTTCCCGTTTGAGGCATGCATTGTGATGAAACATCATCTGGCGAAGACCATCCAGCAGGTGCGTGGTGGAGAGGCAAGGGAGGGCGGGGAGGGTGGAGAAGGTGGAGAGGGCGGGGAGGGCCAAGGGAGCGCCAAGGGAGAAGTGAGGGCCAAGAGGGAGCAAAATCCGTTTGAGGCATGCATTGTGATGAAACGCCACCTGCCACGGATGACTCAGCAGGTGGGATGGGAGGTGCATAATTGTTGAAGGGACAGAGAGGGCAGGGAGGGCAAAGGAGAGAATGGAGGGCAGGGAGGGCAAGGAGGGCAGGGAGGGCAAGGAGGGCTGGGAGGGCAAGGAGGGCTGGGAGGGCTGTGTTGATATGCATTCAGCATTACACACGATGCGCTTTGTACAATTCAGTCAGCGTCACATGCCATGTCTTTCACATAGTGCACTGTGCAGTCAGCTCAACATTTGCTCAGTACCTGATACCCCATATGCTTGTTGCATGCTGCCAGCTCAGTCTTTGATGCATGCAGAGGTGTTTGAAGGCCGTATTCTGTCCTGTTTGTTTCACCATCTTCTCGAATGCTGCCTCACGTGTGTGTGTGTGATAGTCTCTTTGCTACTCTCTCGCTATGTGCAGACATATGGCAACACGTGCTACTGGCTTCAATACACGTATCGCATGCACTCACAGTTGGCGGCACTGAGAGGATGCTGCATGGCTGTCTGCTCTCCGTCTCATGCTGGCTCTTGCTCTGCTGCTGGCTCTTGCTCTGCTGCTGCTCTGTTGGTCCTCTGTTGTTGCTCTGCTGCTGCTCTGTTGGTCCTCTGTTGTTGCTCTGCTGCTGCTCTGTTGGTCCTCTGTTGTTGCTCTGCTGCTGCTCTGTTGGTCCTCTGTTGTTGCTCTGCTGCTGCTCTGTTGGTCCTCTGTTGTTGCTCTTCCATGCAGGCGTACGGCAACACGCGCCCCTGGCTGCAAGACACGTACGACATGCAGTCGGAGCTGGCAGCGCTCATAGGGTGCTTCCAGCAGAGGGAGGCGGCGGAAGTTGCTGGTGCAGGGAGGCGACTGATTGCCAGCTATGAGGGCCGTGGGGCGCCTGAGAAGAATGAGGGTAAGTGAACATCGGAGCTGGCAGCGCTGATTGGATGCTTCCAGCAGAGGGAAGCGGCAGCTGCTGCAGCAGCAGGGAGGTGACTCATTGCTGGCTACGAGGGCAGAGAGGAGCCTGATAGTGACGCAGGTGAGAGGGCCATGAGCATTGAAGGCAGGAGACCTTGATTGCCATAGGGAGGTTCCAGGAAACGAAGGTTTTAAAATGTTGGTGCTTCAGGGAGGTGAGTGATTGCCGGCTATGAAGGCGGTGAGGCGCCTGAGATCCATGCAGGTCAGTGAGTTGTGCAAAATGAATGAATGAGTGAGTGATTGAGTGAGTGAGTGAGTGAGTGAGTGATTGCTGATGCTGCTGCAGGGAGGCGAGTGAGTGCCAGCGATGAAGGGGTGAGGCGCCTGAGAGCTATGAAGGTAGGGAAGAATTGTAATCAGGGAACGTCTGGGCACCCTCTCGCTGTACTCCCTCCTCCTCCTTGGATTTCTCCTCTGCTCCTCTCTCATCTGCCCACCTCTCTCCCCCTTTCATCCCACAGACCCCGATCTGGACAACACGTGGATCTTAAAGCCCTGGAATCTCGCGCGCAGCATGGATGCAACGGTGGCGCGCCAGCTGGCGCAGATCGTACGGCTGGCAGAGACCGGCCCCAAGGTGGCCCAGAAGTACATCTTCCGCCCCGCGCTCTTCCACGGGCGCAAGTTCGACCTGCGCTTCCTGCTGCTGCTCAAGAGACTCAAGCCGCTGGAGGCGTATCTCTCCGACGTGTTCTGGGTGAGTGTGCTGGGTTGAATGCTGCATGCTCTCTGCCTGCTGCTTGCTTTTTGCTGGCTGGTGTTGCTGTGAGGCCCCCCACAGCAAGGCAGAGACTGGGCCTAAGGGGAGGTCGAACTCAAGGCAGAGACCATTCGGCTGGCAGAGACCGGCCCCAAGGTGGCCCAGAAGTTCATCTCCCGCCCCGCGCTCTTCCACGGGAGGAAGTTCGACCTGCGCCTCCTGCTGCTGCTCAAGCGGCTCAAACCGCTGGAGGCATATCTCTCTGACGTCTTCTGGGTGAGTTGGGTGGTCCACTGGTGCTTGCTGGTTGGTCCTTGTCGCTGCCTGTTTGGTGTTGGGATGAAGCGCCCCACAGCATGGCAGACACGGGCGCAACAGCGAGGTGGGGACAAGGCAGGGCAGAGAGCGGCCCCAAGCTGTGCCAGAAGTACATTTCCCGCCTTCCACTCTTCCATGGGAGGATATTCGACCTGCGCTTCCCGCTGCTGCTCAAGCGGCGCTGGAGGCATATCTCTCCGATGTGTTCTGGGTGAGTGGGTTGACGGGAGGAAGTGAGTTGGGTTGAATGCTGCCCGCTTGCCGCCTGCTGCTTGGTTGGCTGCTGCACTTTTCCACATGAGGAAGTTCGACCTGCGCTTCCTGCTCCTGCTCAAGAGACTCAAGCCGCTGGAGGCGTATTTATCGGACGTGCTCTGGGTGAGTGGGTCGGGCGGAGTGGAATGCTGCTTGCTTGTTGCTGTCTGCTGCCTGTTTCCTGCTGCACTCTTTGCCAACAAGACGTGTTCTCAAGCAAAAAACACTCTGCCGGACTCTCAACTTTATCAACTCGCCCTGTGCCTCCCATCTCTTGCATGGCTCATGTGACTCACCCCTCTTTGCTTGCACCGCCAGGCTCGCATCGCCAACAACAAGTATTCTCAAGCAGAGGACTCCCTGTCGGACTTCCAGACACACTTCACTGTCATGGTATGGTGCGGTGCAGTGTGGTGTGGTGTGTTGTGGTGTGGTGCGATACAGAATTGCTTCAGTCATGACACGTCATCACGGTACTGATTTATGCACATTCTGGTTGTGACACTCCATACTCCCTGATTCACATACACACACACAAACACACACACACACACACACACACACACAAACACACACACACACATACACACACATACACAAACACACACACACACACACACATACACACACAGCCACACACACACACACGTGGGCACACACACACACACACACACACAAGCACACACACACACACACACGTGGGCACACACGCACACACACAGCCACACACACACACACACATGCGCTCGCGCGCCCGCTTGCACATGCATCTGTGTGTCTCTCATGTCTCCATCCTCCCACCTCATTCTCCATCCTCCCATCTCATTCTCCATCCTCCCCTCCCTCTCTCCATCCTTCCATCCTGCTCTCATCAGAACAGCAGCAATCACAAGTATGAGAATATGCTTTTGTTGACATGCCATCCTTTCCCCTGTATCCCTCTCTCCATCCTCCCCTCTCTCCATCCTCCCCTCTCTCCATCCTCCCCTCTCTCCATCCTTCCCTCTCTCCATCCTCCCCTCTCTCCATCCTCCCCTCTCTCCATCCTCCCCTCTCTCCATCCTCCCCTCTCTCCATCCTCCCCTCTCCATCCCCCCCTCTCTCCATTCCTCCCCCTCTCCATCCTCTCACACTCTCGTCAGAACTACAGTGGTCACAAGTATGAGCACGTTCCAACACACGAGTTTGTGCAGGCGTTTGAGCACGAGCACAGCGGTATGCATGGGTGACAGCATGGCGTGAATGGGGGATGGCGTGGTATGGATGGGCGATGGCATGGTATGCATGGTTGGTGAGATGGTATGTATGGGGTTTGACATGTCATGCATTCTGCTAATGGCATGCAACAGCTAACTGCACACATCCCCATGACACAGGAATACGCATGAAAGGAGCATATTTTCCCCCTCTCATCCCTCCTCCACTCGCTCTTTCCCCTCCAACTGTACCCAACTTGCATGCCTGCCGCTACAGTGACGTGGCAATCTATCGACCAATCAGTGCAGAGGATGCTGCGGGAGCTCCTGGCTGCTGCTGTCACCGTCCATCCCGAGATGCAACCAGATGACGACACCTGTCGAGCAATCTACGGTGTGGATGTGATGCTGGATGATCACTTCCAACCCAAGCTTCTAGAGGTTAGTCGTGCAATTACCGCCTCCTTCCCTGCTATTCAGCTTCCTAATGCCCTACATTTTGTAAAATTATCATGATTCTATTCTCCTTTATTATATATTGTTTTCTTTAGAATTTGCATATGTTATGCATTCATGTGGCGGTGTACAGGTAACATACTGCCCGGACTGCACGCGTGCTGTGACGTACGACATGAAGAGGATCTTCCCAAGGCCTACCGGCTCAGAGGGCAGTGCAGAAGCGGAAGATGAATCCGCGTGGCTGCGACCCAAAACCTTTTTCAACGATGTGTTTGGGTGCCTCTTCCTAGGAGAAACCCAGAACGTGCGGCGCTTGTGATGTGAACCCTTCCATCTAGTGGTCTCTTATATAGTTCTTTAGATGGTTGGGTAGATAACATTGTTTTTCCTAATTTCAGCACTTGTAGGTAGGTACCCGTGGTAGTAGGGTTGGTTGCCATGCCAGGAACTTTGCGAGATGGATAATAAATTTCAAGAAAACGGCAAGAGGAAGGCACCGTGCCCTTGAGCAGAACTGGTGACACAAACAATCAGCAATTATAACCACAACCAATCTCTCCTCCACACCATAATCCTCCAAACCACCATCACCACTACCCCAACAACTCCCCACATCACCATTTTATTAACAAATAAAAAGCAAGCAGATTTCACTATAACGATCAGAAAGGAGGCAATACAGTGGTACAGTAAAGGCGGCGCGCTGGGAAAACCCCCCCATGGCCCCCCTACCCCCCAATCCTCCTCACAACCCCTCACAGCCCCTCGAAGCGCCCTGGAAATTCCTGGGCATGGCTCATGCATGTCTACCCTACTCCCTATCATACCATATTCCTGCTTCTGCTTCTACTACGTGCTTCTACTTTGTGCTTCCACACTTTGCCCCTGTCGCTGCTTTCCTCTCCCCTTCTCTGCCGGCCCGTCTCTCTTTTCTCTCTCTTTCTGTGTGTCCCTGCTTGTTTCTGTTTTCTCTTCCTGCCTACTACTAACCTACTCACTATTTCAGAATCTTATTCAGAACAATCCTAGAGCTTCCTATTCCATATCGTATTTCACTTTCATGACTGCATCTTCAGGCAAAACGCTTCACAAAGTCTTCACGGCGCCCCCATCCCAAGGAGAGACCGCGCCACCTGCGCAAGGAGGGTAGGGGCCGGGTGGGTGGGGTTGTGTGGCAGGTGTCAGGGGAAGGAATGGCAGGTGAGAGGTTTCAGAGGGGGAAAAGCAGAGACGGGGTTTCAGAGGACGGGGGTATGGCAGAAGCACGATTTCAGACGCGCCTTCAGAGGGCGAAAAACACGCTCTCACCAAATTGGGGAGACAGAAACTCAGTGGCGGGGGGGGGGGGGGGGGGGGGGGGGGGGTAACAGGAATTCAGGGGTTGTATATGTGATGTAACATACAACCATACATATCAGAGCATACCAAAGACTTGCATTATCCTATCCTTCTCATCGCAACAAGAGAGATCGCAGTGGCTGGCACCGAAGAAAATGACACCTGCGCAAAGAAAGAGAGGGGGAGGCACTGTAGGTGAATGGGAGAGAGCAAGCATCAACGACCCGACCCTCACCTGGCTGTGCCGAGCCTCTCACCTGGCTGCGCCCTGCCTCTCACCTGGCTGCGCCGAGCCTCTCACCTGGCTGTGCCGAGCCTCTCACTTGGCTGTGCCGAGCCTCTCACCTGGCTGTGCCGAGCCTCTCACCTGGCTGCGCCGAGCCTCTCACCTGGCTGTGCCGAGCCTCTCACCTGGCTGCACCGAACCTCTCACCTGGCTGTGCCGAGCCTCTCACCTGGCTGTGCCGAGCCTCTCACCTGGCTGTGCCGAGCCTCTCACCTGGCTGTGCCGAGCCTCTCACCTGGCTGCGCCGAGCCTCTCACCTCGCTCTGCCGAGCCTCTCACCTCGCTCTGCCGAGCCTCTTACCTCGCTCTGCCGAGCCTCTCACCTCGCTCTGCCGAGCCTCTCACCTCGCTCTGCCGAGCCTCTCACCTCGCTCTGCCAAGCCTCTCACCTCGCTCTGCCGAGCCTCTCACCTCGCTCTGCCGAGCCTCTCACCTCGCTCTGCCGAGCCTCTCACCTCGCTCTGCCGAGCCTCTCACCTCGCTCTGCTGAACCTCTCACCTGGATGGCAGGTGTGACGGGATGGCACACGGTTTAGCAATTGTGGCAGAGGTGAGTGCAGGGGAGCAGAGGTGAGTGCAGGGGAGCACTGGGGGAAGGTGAATAGAGGGGAGCAGTGGGAGAAGGTGAATACAAGGGATAAGGGGGGAATGGTGAATAGAGGGGAGCAGTGGGGGAAGGTGAATACAAGGGATAAGGGGGGGATGGTGAATAGAGGGGAGCGGAGGGTGAACAGTGGGGGGTGGGGAAACAGTGGGGTGAACAGTGAGGGATGGGGAAACAGTGGGGTGAACAGTGAGGGATGGGGAAACAACGGGGTGAACAGTGAGGGATGGGGAAACAATGGGGTGAACAGTGAGGGATGGGGAAACAGTGGGGGGTGAACAGTGAGGGACAGGGAAACAGCGGGGGTGAACAGTGAGGGACAGGGAAACAGTGGGGGTGAACAGTGAGGGACAAGGAAACAGTGGGGGTGAACAGTGATGGACAGGGAAACAGTGGGGGTGAACAGTGAGGGACAGGGAAACAGTGGGGGGTGAACAGTGAGGGATGTGAGGTGAGTGGGATGAATAGTGGGGAAAATGAGGTGAGTGGGGGAAAGCAAACGAGGTGAGTGAGGGAAAACAGAAAAGGAGGAAGGGCGGAACGACGGAGGGCGGAATGAGTAGGAAGGGCGGAAATCTGTAGCATAAGTAGCAATAGCTTTTATTGGGTGGAATGAGGAGGAAAGGCGGAACGAGGAAGGGCGAAATGAGGAGGAAAGGCGGAACGAGGAAGGGCGGAATGAGGAGGAAAGGCGGAACGAGGAAGGGCGGAATGAGGAGGAAAGGCGGAACGAGGAAGGGCGGAATGAGGAGGAAAGGCGGAACGAGGAAGGGCGGAATGAGGAGGACGGGCGGAATGAGGAGGAAAGGCGGAACGAGGAAGGGCGGAATGAGGAGGATGGGCGGAATGAGGAGGATGGGCGGAATGAGGAGGAAAGGCGGAACGAGGAAGGGCGGAATGAGGAGGAAGGGCGAAATGAGGAGGAAAGACGGAATGAGGAGGAAGGGCGGAATGAGGAGGATGGGCGGAATGAGGAGGAAAGGCGGAACGAGGAAGGGCGGAATGAGGAGGAAGGGCGGAATGAGGAGGATGGGCGGAATGAAGTGGATGGGCGGAATGAGGAGGAAAGGCGGAACGAGGAAGGGCGGAATGAGGAGGAAGGGCGGAATGAGGAGGAAGGGCGGAATGAGGAGTAAGCACGGAATGAGGGAGGGCAGAACGAGCAAGGGAGGGCGGAACGAGGAAGGGAGGGCGGAACGAGCAACGGAGGGCGGAACGAGCAAGGGAGGGCGAAACGAGCAAGGGAGGGCGGAACGAGGAAGCGATTTTCTCACCCTTATCCGAGTTCCCTAGCGACTTTCTTCGCCGCCCGCCGCATCGCGCTCGTTCCACTCAATCTTGAAGTAGCGCCCGTGACGCGGCGCACATCACGTTATCCTGTGACGCGCCCGTGACGCGGCGCACATCAAGTCCTCCCGTGACGTGGCGCACATCACGTCCTCTCGTATCTGGCGCATGAGATCGGGAACCGTCAGCGCGCGCTACCGCTACGAGCTGTGCGTAACCGAGCATGAACGAGTGGAGGCGCAGGAAGGGCACACACCAGATGGCACTGCGTCCTTCCACTGCTCCTCTGCGTGTCCCGTTGCCGTCTCCTCCAGAGTCCTCTCTTCCTATCCTTGCTGACCCGGAGTCTGACTCTCTTCGTGCTGCCAGTCCTACTGTCACGCGTCTCCTCGCCGCTGTTGTCACTGACCCTTCCTTTGAGTCCACTGCTGCGTCTGCCTTAGTTGCTGAGCTTGTCGAATTTGCTGCTCGCTATCGTCTAGACTACGCCACTAGTCTCGTTGCTGAGTCTGAGTCTGTCTGTCCTCCGTCCGTCGGGGGTGAGTGTGCTCTTAGCACGGACGTCCTTGAGGACAGGCAGGAGGAGTTCCATTGTTTTGCAGCTGCTTTGCCTCATCTCGTGTCCACGCTGATTGCCCCTGAGGGAGACCCGGATGCACCGGACATCCCGACTCCTCGATCGTACGCTGAGGAGATCGAGGGTCCCTACTCCTCTCAGTGGCAGTCAGCCATGGACGCAGAGATGACTTCCAGGAAGTCCACAGGCACCTACGTCGACGAGGTTCCCCCACCTGGCACGAAAATCGTCAGTGGCATGTGGATTTTCAGGGTGAAGCGGCCGCCGAGTGTCAGTAGATCTGCACTATGGATGCCCGATTAATGCTGGAGAGGGTTACAGGCGTGTTCGCCTGGGGGGTTATGGGCGCACTGACCCGCTACTGAAACAAGCCCTTTTATTCCAATGGTCTAGTGGTTGGGATTCTAACATGGTATCAGAGCGGTCTCGGGTTCGATTCCCGGTGTATGCACATGTAGGCCGTTGCCGCTGTGCTTAGTCCTAGGCCTCCCAGTGTGGGGGGGTGTCAGTAGATCTGCACTATGGATGCCCGATTGATCCTGGAGAGGGTTACAGGCGTGTTCGCCTGGGGGGTTATGGGCGCACTAACCCGCTACTGAAACAAGCCCTTTTATCCCAATGGTCTAGTGGTTGGGATTCTGACACCGGGTTCTCCGCCTGTCTTCAAGGCGCGTTACGTGGCTCGAGGCTTCAGTCAGCGGCAGGGAGTTGACTACTTTCAGACCTTCTCTCCCACTCCGAAGATGACCACTCTTCGGGTGCTGCTACACATAGCTGCTAAGCGCGATTACGAGCTTCACTATCTTGACTTCATCATAGCTTTCCTGCAGGGCAGCCTTCACGAGGAGATCTGGCTGCGCCGCCCACCTGGCTTCACTGGGTCGTTTCCTCCTGGTACCCAGTGGAGCATCCGGCGGCCACTCTACGGTCTCCGCCAGGCGCCCCGTGAGTGGCACGACACACTGAGGACTACGCTTGCGGCTCTTGGGTTTGCTCCTTCTACTGCGGACCCGTCGCTGTTTCTGCGCACCGACACCTCTTTGCCGCCGTTCTACATCCTCGTGTACGTCGACGACTTGGTCTTTGCCACTGCTGACACTGCTGGACTCGCCCACGTGAAGTCTGAGCTGCAGAAGAGACACACGTGCACAGACCTGGGTGAACTGCGCAGCTACCTTGGCTTGCAGATCACCCGAGACAGAGCACAGCGCACCATTACCCTGACTCAGTCACACATGGTGCAGCAGGTCCTTCAGCGCTTCGACTTCACGTACTCCTTGCCTCAGGCCATTCCTCTCTCTACTCGCCACTCGCTCTCAGCTTTGCCTTCGGATGAGTCCGTAGAGCCAAGTGGCCCTTACCCAGAGCTTGTTGGCTGCCTCATGTACCTGATGACCTGCACACGACCTGACCTTGCATACCCTCTTAGCATCTTGGCACGCTATGTTGCTCCTGGGAGACACCGACCAGAGCACATGGCTGCAGCGAAGAGGGTGTTGCGCTACTTGTGCAGTACGTCGGGCATGGGGCTAGTGCTTGGAGGGCGACGTCGAGTGGTCCTCACAGGTCACGCAGATGCTTCTTGGGCTGACGACCAGGCTACGCAGCGGTCGTCACAGGGTTACACCTTCAGCCTTGGCTCCGGCTCTGTTTCGTGGCGGTCTACCCGCTCGTCTTCTGTTCTCGGCTCCAGCTGTGAGGTTGAGATCTACGCCGGGGCCATGGCTGCACAGGAGCTACGCTGGCTCACCTACTTGCTGACTGACCTAGGAGAGCCGCCTCGTTCTCCTCCAATTCTGTACGTAGACAACAAGGCCATGCTGGCCTTGTGTCGGGAGCACAGACTGGAGCACAGAACGAAGCACATTGCTCTTCGCTACTTCCTTTCTCGTGAGCTGCAGCAGCGTGGTCAGCTGCGCCTTGCTTACGTGGCCTCTGAGGCCAACACTGCTGATATCTTTACCAAGGCACTTCCGCCTTGTAATCATCAGCATCTCTGTACGATGCTAGGTCTTGTGCCTACTTGGCCTCACTTGCTCACTTCTTAACCTTGCTTGTACTGTGATCTTTCTATACCTACACTTGCTTGTTTACCTTTATATATGATCTTGCATTTGAACTGGCCTTATGGCCTTTGAACTTGTGCTCGGAATGTGTGGTGACATTGTGATCCACCCTGAGCTTGCTTTGCTTTGCTTGACTGGTCTTGTGACCTCTTGTTCTCCCCCACTTTGCCTATGGGGGTGTGTCAAACTCATATGCTATAGTCTGTGTAGGCTGTAGTGGGGTAGACAATATGGGGTACAACACTTTTAGGTTTTGCTAATTGTACCCACCTGCTTGCTAGTTCATTTCATTCCTCATTCTTGACATGTAAGTCGATGCGCATTGCGTTTCTACACGTTGATTATATCGGTAGCGCGTCGCGCTTTGAGACGCGCTCGCTGATTTTTTGATACGAACCGCACCCCTTATAATCATTTTTTGAGGGTTTTTTGTTAGTATCCCCTACATTTGGTTTTTGTGTTTTTTGTTTTATGCGCACTGTTTTATCTCAAACTTACTTTTCTAATTATCAAAACGAGACAAGCCTTATTTTGTTCTGTCCTGCCCTGCATGTTACACAATAATTTGTGGGTAAGTAGGGTTGCGATTTTCATCCACGTCCGTACCACGTCACATTTTCATGCGTCCCTTCCTGCACCCTCTAGCTTTCAACTCAACCAACTACCTTGCGCTCTTTCTTCTCTCTCCTATCCTAACTCCCACCATCTCCTAAAACGCATTCGATTTGATCGTCTTTTTTCTCTCGTATCCAGACATAGTCATCGCTCAGTTGCCTGCACTCAAGTACTTGCGCGCTCTTCTCTCGAGCATCTATGCTCTCGCTCCAGACTTTCAGTTTCCTCTTATCGAAGCTCTAAACTTCTTACAACCACGGTGGCGGCGCTGCGCGAGACACAGCGCGACATGTGCGCAAGGCACAGCTCGACATGCGCGCGAGACACAGCGCGACATGCGCACGAGACACAGCGCCAGCGACTGAGGCGCGCCTAAAACGAGTAAGAGATTGAAATAGTTTCAGAGTTTCTCCGCGGACTCAGATTTCTTTCGCCCAACAACTCACGCTCTCCCTGCTGGCCAGTGTGTACTCAGTAACGCGGCGTCCTTTCTCAGATTTACGTCAGGTCATTCTATTATTTTTGTTCTAAATGTAATTCTTTGTTTGTTTTCTCTGACAGCGACGAGACACGAGTGGTGCTGATCCGACGGCACATGTTCCTATGGTGACGGAAAAGCACTCACCTACCTCTCCCACCACCACGTGAGCATCACCAAGCGGCGGATCACGCGCCACATGACAGGCGACGGATCGCGCACCATGAGAGGCTCGGCACTGCCTGGTGAGAGGCTCGCCACAGCCAGCTAAGAGGCGCGGCGAATTGCCTCTTCCGCGCTGCAAGCGCGGCGAGTTGCACCTTCTACGCTGCAGGCACTGCTAAGTCCCTTTTTTCGCGCTGCAGGCACGGCTTAGTGCCTTTTCCGCACTGCAGGCGCGGCGAGTTTATTTTTCCGTGCTCCAGGCACGGCTAAGTGCCCTTTGCGCGCTGTTTTCCGCCTTGTCCTGCCTTTTCCCGCCGTCTCCCGCTCTTTCCCATAGTTTCCCAAGGTTTCCCTTTCCGCGGTTTCCCGCTGTTACCCGCGGTTTCCCGCGGTTTCCCGCGGTCACCGCAGGAGGACGCGGACGCGGAGCACGACCACTGGTGTGAGCAGCACGAACAGGCAACGCAGGACGAGACGCAGGCTCACGACGCTCAGCAAGACCTCCAGTAGGACCAGTGTAGGGAGAAGGAGCAGGTAAGGGGGAGGCCGGCTGTAACTGTGACTGCGATTGGACAGGCTGTAGACACGCTAAGGGAGGAGCAGGACCAGTAGAAGGCGGAAGACCAAGAACCTGCTCAAGGAGCGGAAGGAAGTACGGCCACGGCCGCGCAGCGCCTCCAGAACCAGCAGGGACAGCACCAGTACCCGCAGCGGCACCTCCAGCTCCAACAGCGCCAACTCCAGCACCCTCAGAAGTACCAACGCCAGCAGCACCACCAGCGCCAGCACCCCCAGCAGCTCTAGCTCCAGCAGCTCCAACTCCAGCAGGACCGCTAGCTCCAGTACCGCCAGCAGCTCCAGCACCAGGAGCACCTCCAGGCCTAGTACCTCCAGTGCCTCCAGTACCTCCAGCAGCACCAACTCCAGCAGCCCCAGCAGCACCCCCAGACCCAGCAGCTCCAGTACCGCGAGTACGAGCACCTTTAGGACCAGCAGCAACAGTAGTACCTCCAGCTCCAGCAGCACGGCTCTAGCGCCGGGCAAACCACTCGCGCAGCTCCTGCGGAGAGAGTTTCTCCCGCCTCGACAAAGCACCGCCAGAGGCCACATGAGCAGACCCAGCACCCCTAGACTCCGCACCCCCAGGCTCCGTACCCCTAAGCTCAGCACCCCCAGGCTCCGCACCACCAGACTCAGCACCCCCAGTCTCAGCACCCCCAAGCTCCGCACCCCCAGACCCGGCACCCGCAGGCTAATCGCCCCTAGCAGGACTAGAGTCAACAGCTACCTCGACACGCTCGACTGCGTCTACCTGGGACACACCTGACGGGGCAGGACCCTGAGGGGGGAGAGGGTCTAATGGGGGAGGACCTGGCGCAAGGAAGAGCGGCGGCGGGGGGAGGGGCGCAGTGCGGTAGGGGAAGAGACGGTAGTAAGGCACCGACTCGTCAAAGGTGACGTCCTGGGAGGACAGAACACGGCGCGAGGCGGGGTGGTAAAACTGCCAACCAGGTGCGTCTAGGGGGAAGCCAAGGAAGACGCAGGGAACAGCACAGGGGGACAGCGTATCCGCAGAAAAGTCGCGGACAAACGCCCGAGATCCCCAGACCCGAAACGCAGACGCATCGCCAACCTTCCCCGTCCACCGCAAGGTGGGGGAGGTCTCTGGCAAGGAGACCCGGGGCTGAAGGTTGAGCTAATGCGCTGCGTACTGAACCGCAAACGGCCACAGAAAATGGGGAGCAGCCGCATGGATCATGGACGTACGACCGACGTCCATGACCATGCCAATGCGGCGCTCAGCAATCCCATTTTACTGAGGAGAGGCCGGAAGCGTGAATGTCTGGCGGATGCCCTGTGCACGATAGAAGGCTCCTCAGACGGGCAGAGGAAAACTCCCCGCATCTGTCAGAGTGCAGACGCAGAACATGAAAGTCCGAGCTGAAACTCTCTCTGAGCTAGAGACGAGCTGCGCGGATCCAGTCGATCAACACCTCAGTGACGTCACCCTTGCTGCGCAAGGGGAACACCGTGGTGTAACGCAAGTAGTCGTCAACCACCAACAAGAAGTAACACTCGTGACCCTGGCCACAGACGCGGGCGGGGCCTCACACGTCCATGTGAAGAGTCTGCAGGGGAGCCTCTGTCGGAGGAAACTCGAAGGAGTGAGGGGCGGCGCGCTGCCGCCCCTCGACGCAGGGAACGCAGGTAGGGGCAGGCCCCGGAGGGAGGGGAGGGAGGGACCGGGGGAGACCAGAGACAAGGACACGGGAGGCCATGCCTCGGAGACGAGGCAGGGAGGGGTGACCAAGGCGGTGGTGCCAATGGAGAGTCTGGTGGGACGGGAGACGACACGAGCAACGAGCAGAATCAGGACCAGACCTGGACGCTGCAGCAAACACCTGACTTGACGCAGCTACCTGACCAGACTCAGCAACCGGAGGAGACTCAGTAGTGAGTGTGTACAGGCTCGACCCCGGCCGATGGGTAAACGTGGCCAAGTGTCGGCCCGTCCGAGCACAAGTACAGTGGGTCACCCGCTGACTCACAAGAGTGAACTGGTCAACCCTCGGATCCTGTAGATCAGCACCACTCACCAAGTTCGTAAAGAACGAGGGGAGGTAGAGACCTGACAGGGTGCCAGAGGGGGGCTGCCCGACACGATAAGACAGTGGAGAAGCTAGCAAGGACAGGACCCCCAGAGGGGTCCGCCAGGGAGACCGCAACCGGCCGACTGAGCGGCGTAAGCATGGTGCGGTCTTGAAAGAAGGAGCGGGAAGCACCCGAGTCAAGGGTGAAGGTGTGTAAGGCCTGAGCCAACGTGGTACCTAAGAGAGCAGACTCACTAGCACCTGGGTCAGCAGACGCACTAGCACCTAGAGCAGCAGCCTCACCAGCACCTAGAGCTGCAGCCTCAATGCCCGGGTCAGGCAGAACAAACAGGTTACAGTCACCCTCATCACTAGTAGGCAATGCATACATGGCAGTGAGGATAGCATTATAGTCAAGAGTATAGATATCTACCCGCAGCCGAAGCAGCTCCACCCAGTCGAGGAGCTCAGCCGCGTCGCCAAACTCCGTACGCCATGCGTCGCTCAGATGGGCGAAGTAGCAGGACTCTGCGTGACCAAACGTCCTGCAAGGCTGACCAGTCCGAGCACCAGTGCAAATGACGTACGGACAGCGAGCAGTACCCCGTGACCCGTCACGCTGAGCGTACCACTCACGAAGCTGCTGGGGCGAAAGGACCGCGCACGGACGACGCTGAAGCTGCACCTGGCCACTACAAGCAGCTGCCGAACGACTTACTCCAGGATGACTCCCACTACGGCCACCCCGACAACCCCAACTAGCGTACCACTCACGAAGCTGTTGGGGGGTGAGGGACTCACGCGGACGGCGCTGGAGGTGCATCTGGACACGCCAGGAGCAGCAGTAGCAGTAGAAAGAGCAGTAGCAGCAAGAGCAGCAGTAACAGCAGTACGGGCAAGGCAGTGCTCACCAGTGGCGAGAAGGGCAGGCGTACGACGGCGGCAATGGCGAGGCCGCTACCACTGTAGGGCGAGGGCTCCGCGGCAGCTGCACGGGCGGCTGCTCCAGGGGCGGCTGCTCCAGGTGCGGCTGCTGCAGGGGCGGCTGCCCCAGGGGCGGATGCTGCAGGGGTGCAACTCAGGAAGGGAGATGATGAGACGGCGGAATCCTACTGCAATAGGGCCCGCACCATCCGAGCGGAGCTGCTGACCATTGAACAGGAGGTCCACATGGCCATGTTTGCTGCCCATGTGCTGAAGGGCCTACCACCGGAATACGGATTTCTTCGCTGCAAGCTTGAAATTTCCAGCCCTGACATGACGGTGGAATGCGTGTGCAACGAGGTGTTGATGAAGGAGCGGACTCTCTCTCCATCGAACAGAGTTACAAGCAGATCACCAGTGATGCATTTGCTTTCTTGGGCGCTGTCAACACCATCGTGGCTACAACGGGGGTCAACGGGAAGGAAGGAAAAGGGGGAAGAGAGCAGACGGACAAGAAGAAGGATGGCAAGCGGGAGAAGAATCGAGCCCCCTTCAAGGGGCGCTGCTACAGCTGCAATAAGGAGGGGCACATGGCTGCCAAGTGCCCCAACAAGAAGAAAGATACAACGCCTGCGGCAGCCGCGAACGTAGCTAAAGGAGACGGGAAGGTCGTGGCGCTCACCGTCTCGTGTTCGGCTGCAAAGTTGCTGGCCGACGACAAGGACTTGTGGTTCCTTGACGCAGGATGCTCCCAACATATGACCGGCCGCAAGGAGTGGTTCACGGTGATCCGTGACCCATCTGCAACGAAATCAGTCAAAGGGTTTGATGGTTCTATGCAGGAAGTTGCCGGTGTTGGTGAGGTTTTGCTGGAGGGCACTAACGGCTTGCGTGTGACCCTACATGATGTCCTCTTTGTGCCGGGAATGAAGGCCAACTTGGTCTCCCCTGGGCAGCTCTTGGACAAGGGAGCAAAGATGCAAACCGAGGAAGGTGTCACTCGCATCATCGCATCAGGAGGTCAAGTGGCTGCAGCGGCACGATACCGCCATCGCTTTCACTGCCTTGACCTGAAACCGGGACCAGCAAGGAACGGTGCAAAGGCTGCAGCGGCATGCAACGGCACGCCGGCTACAGCGGCATGCACCAATATGGCGGGTGGAGCGGCGAGCAATGGCACAGGGGCTGCAGCGGCATGCAATGGCAGGGCGGCTGCGGCGGCATGCAACGGCAGGGCGGCTGTGGCGGCATGCAATGGCACGGCGGCTGAGGTGGCATGCAATGGTATGCTTAAGGCATTTGCTGAGGTGGTGTCAAGCGCACCGGAAGAGAATGACGAAGCGGCCAGCCTCACAACACATGCGGTGGGGACCGAGGCGATGCTCAACCTGCGGCACACTTACCTTGAGAATGACCATGCTGGTGCGGTGCAGTGGACAGCCACAAACAGTGGCATGCTAGGCATGGACCTAGAAAAAGGAGGGGAGGACACGTCGAGCGCCTCCTCCGAAGAAGCCAAACTCACTCGTCAAACGCTTCCGCTGCCTGACGAGCAAGAGGGGGAGGTTCTTGGGATGGTCCATGGCCCTGAGCAGAATCACCCGCCGTCACGTATCGTCATTATAATCCCAGTGCCGTCCGTGCAAGGGGGCGAACAACCGTTTGATCGTTCGGTTGACCCTGCGGGCAGCAACGCAACCATGGCTATGCCAGCTGTCTGTCCATCCTTAGCTGCTGGCTTGGCACCTGTGGGACCAGAGGTTGGTCCCTCTGCGGATGAACGTCGTGCAGCTGATGAAGACAAGAAAGGAGAGGCAACGGACCTGAAATCGGCGGCAACCCAAGGGAAGGACCCCATACCCACGGTTCCGCCCCTCCAGCCCAATCCCCCACCCCCATGTCATTCTAGCAGGTCCAACAAGGGTATGCCACCTGTACGGTTTCCCACATCAACCATGATGGCCTCGGATGCGGATGATGGCAACAACATGTACGACATGGCATTCCTTGCTAGAGTTGTTTATGGCACGGACATCTACTATGATGTGGAGTACTTCGATGAGGCTGTTGAGGAGGAAGGGGGATTGGGGAGCGTCATCATCAACCTCGGAGTAACCTTGACAGGACCTGAAGGCAAGGTGGTGGACAAAGGTCTCCTTGTGGTGGAATACATGTCATCCACGGAAGGCTATCTTGGTCTGCAGATTGTGCGCGACCGCCCCAACAAGACACTCCTCCTGCACGAGAATGCATATGGGGCGAAGGTGCTGCAGCGGTTCTTCAAGGGGGCGCCACCGAAGAAGCAGCCGATCACCCCTCTTTCCTCTACCAGCTTTGTCATGGAGGATGCTGAGCTGTTTGCCGATCGCACCATGACCAACCGCCTTGCAACAGGTACACACCTCAGAACGAATGCGCATTGGTATGAGCTCTTCCGCACACTCTCCTACTGGGCTGCCTCACCGGACAAGGGGCTGCTGTTCAAGGGAGGACCAAAGAGTTTGACTCTCGTGGGGTATGCATATGCAGATGATGCAGGCGACAAGGAGAACCGGTCGTCCATGAGAGGCTACCTCTTCAAGCTTGGCGGAGCTGCCGTTTCATGGCAGGCCAAGAAGCTGCAGGGTGCGACCAAACTTTCCTCCACCGAGAGCGAGCTTGTGGCTGCGGTGGAGGCGGGAAAGGAGGGGCGCAAGCTAAGGTTCCTGCTGTGGGAGTTTCAACTGCTCAAGATGGGTGTCCCCACCACCCTGTACGTCGACAACATGTCAGCAGTGCAGCTCAGCCAGGCGGGCGGGCTGCAGGGGCGCATGAAGCATGTGGACCATCGCCACATGTGGCTACAGGACATGGTACGCATGAAAAAATTGGAGGTGCAGCACATCCCTACTACGGCGCAGCCCGCGGACTTCTTCACGAAGTGGCTCGACAAGGCAGCCTTCAATCGATGCTGTGCAGCAGCCGGGCTGGTCCAGCGTGCTCCTGAGAGCAAAGGGGCGTGTTAGAAGGAAATGTTGTCATGAGCAACAAAATGTCTGCGTTGGGACTCGAACTCGTGACCTTCAAATCTGTCCTAAAAGTGTCTCAGGACAGATTCGGGACAGTTTCTGCTAAGGCGCTAGTTATGGTGCACGCGAGTTTCGAACTGGAGACCTTTCGATTCAAGTGTCCTGAAAGTGTCTTGTCAGGACAGTTTGGGGACAGTTTTGGGACAGATTGGGGACAGTTTGGCGAAATCGGTCTCGCGTCGCGTCCGGTTTGAAACTCGGCAACGAAGTGTCGAAGTCAACGGAATTCGCACAGGAGTTACAGTCGGTGGTCGACGGAATTATTCTCGCGGAAATTCTCGTCTACAAAATTCCAGTCAATGGAATTCGCTCAGCAAAATTCAAGGCTTCGAATTTCGCGTCGACGAAATTCAATGTGCGACCCGGGTCGACACTTTCTTGTATGCTTTTATTTTGTATTGCGTCCTAATATAAAACCAGAGAGCACAAACCAGAAGTTAGCCAAGTCATTACCACTGCTATGTTTGTGTGTATCTCTGGCTTTAGTAGACCGTTTCCTGTAATCTTTGGTGCGTTGGAATCGTGCTTCTGCGCTTTATCAAGTAGCTAAAGTAGTGGAATTCTACACGTCTCATGCTGCCGTACCTCTTCCCTAAGCTAAATGAGTTCCACAATGTTTCTTACCTCATGACTCACCTTCGCTCTAGTGAGACTCGTTACTGCGCCGCTCTCGAGCCAACCTTCCTCGCTGCGAACCCCCCCCCCCCCCCCCCTCCCTGTATATCACACTGTACTTCCTCGTCACGTGCCTCCCTGACTCCCTTCACACTGTCAGGGACCACTTTCTCGCCCTCGACCCCATTGAACTCACACTTACCTCGCTGGAGAAGTCTCTTCTTGATGCTGAGACCAGTACCAACGCTGTCGCTTCCTCTCGCGGCACTCCGTGCTCCCCCTTCTTTGAAGGGTGTGCTCCCTCCCCTCTCCTCCCGTCTGTTGCTACTGCTACTCGTTTCGGCCTCCTTGGTGCTGAGGAATTTGGTGCTGTGTTTGCTCCTAGTGGGAGGCGCAACAACAGCAAGGGCAAAGGGGGTAAGGGTGATGGGGGCGGCACTAGCGGTGGTGGTGGCGTGGGTGGTGGTGGCGGGGGTGGAGGCGGTGGGGGTGGAGGCGGTGGGGGTGGCTCTGGAGGTGGAGGCAGTAGAGGCGGACAGGGTGGTGGAGGCAGCGGAGGTGGAGGAGGCGGCTGGGGTGGTGGAGGCAGTGGGGGCGGTGGAGGAGGTCGTGGTGGAGCTAGCAAGGGTGGAGGCCATGGCGGTTCCGCCCGTGGCGCTGGAGGCTATGGGAGTGGACAACAGATGCCGCGCCTCCCGGACAACCCCACCACTTAGTAGCTTCATGAGTGGGTTGTCTAGCGTGATTCCTCTAGGGGCTCTGGTCGCTGTCAGTTTGTTAGGCGCACAGGGCCCAAGAAGGGTCATACCTGCGGGAAGGGACACACTGAGTATCGTTGCTTCGGCCATCTCGAGGATGCCTAGGTGGATGAGTATGGTGATGAGCTGGAGGTCCCCAACTGGCTGAAATTGCAGGGGATGGGAGTAGATGTGTATGCTCTAGACTTTGCAAAGATCAATGCAGCCATCTATGTTATGTATGTGACTGAGCTTAGTGTTGAGGGTGTGTATTACTCGTGTGTACCTTGCGATGCTGGTATCAATGCTGCTGCTCCAGGTACCAGTGAGTTGGCTGCAGCTCTAGCTGCTGCTATTACAGGTACTAGTGAGTGTGCTGTAGCTCCAGGTGCTAATGCATCTGCTGTCATAGGTGCTAGTGATTCTGCTACCTCCGTTGAGGCTCTGCACACTTTCACACTTGACTCAGGTGCGTCTCATTGCTTCTTTCGTAACTGCACCGCACTCACACAGCTAGCTGCACCTGACCCAGTCTCACTGGCTTACCCCTCTGGGGGTCCAGTAGTCGTACGAGCCTCCAATGTCCTCCCATGTCAGGTCTCCACCTCCCCTCGTTCTCGACAAACTTGGTGAGCAACGCCGCTCTTCAGAATGTCTGTGTTGAAACCTTTACTCCTGGAGGGCAGCTTGTGGCAATCTGTACGCGCTCCCGGAATGGCCGTCACCTTGTTCACGCTGAGGAGAGTCACTCTACAACGGTGGTGAGCTAGACTACGGGGGGTAGGCACGAACTACCAGGAGTGATCGTAGCTTTGCTTATTTCCTTAGTGCTTGAGCATTCACGGGAGAAATCGGAAAGAGTTTCACTAGCAAAGTTGGAATTCCAGAATGATTGAACACGCAATGACAACAATGACTACATCAGGCACCTAGCAACTCTGCAGCTAGCTTGGTCGACCGCCAGCACAGCTTGGTCGACCGCCTGCCAGCGTTGCGTAGAGGAGCCGCGCCAGCACTGCAAAAAGGCAACCTGCCAACAGAGCAGGTCGACGGCGTGCCAACGCTGCAGCAGAGCGGCTGTCCAGCGTTGCCCCGTAGAAGACAGCAGTGTGCACGCTCATAGGTGCACGCAGACGATTGGCCCGACTTGCCTCATCGGGCATCCGTCGGTTTTTGTCTGCGCTTGACAAGCCACATCGACTTCGGGATACCAGCCCGTAGTCCTGTGCCATCGTGACCTCGACGACGTTTGCGTGCCTCCGCAAAACTCGTTGAGCAGATTACCCGGTCGACCTGGTCAGCCACCAGGTGCTTCCGGTCGACCACCACTGCATCTGGTCGACCACCGGGTCCCTCCGGTCGACCACCAAGTCCCTTTGGTCGACCACAGCTCCCGTCGAGCTACCCCTTGGTCGACGGACCTCTTTCGTTGACCAGAACAGTCAACGGTTGTCGCCGAGCTCCCCTCGTCGACCGCTGCTCACTTGTCAGGTCGACAGACTGCTCCCGGTTGAGCTGCCCCTTCTGGTCGACGGCCCACCCGTAGCCCAGACCAGTCAGTTGCAGCTGTCGAGCTCCCTGGTCGACAGCAACACCACAGCGGTCCCTTGCAGCTCGATAAAGCCTGTCGAGCAGCTCTCTCACTGTGAACAGTCGGCTGCTACTCCCGTACATCCGACCAAGTCGTCGGCATTGCCCAAGCGAGGGCGGGGCCAACACTCCATTCCCATTGACACTCCCCTGCCGCACTCACGATTGGGCCTCCAGCCCACACGGCAGTACTCCACGGAGAAAGCTCGTCCTCGGCGTGCACCCCACACCCAGCACGCCGTCACCGAACCAGCCGTGCAAAAGGGCACGGCACCTACAGCTGCACCTCATCGTCGCCGTCGCCAACGTCGGCCAGACGAGCTTGGTCAATGGCGACAGAGCACCGGTTGAAAGGCGGAAAGTGCAGTGCCTTCACCTGGAAGTCCGCCGGCTGTTCGATGGTCGGGATGTACTTCAGCACGAACTTCCCGCGATCACCATGTACTGCAGCCAGGCATAGTGTCGCATGTGCTTGAGGTTGCTCGTCAGCCCCAAGCCCTCAGCGACCATGATCGCCGACTTGTTGTCCACGTGTAGGACGGTCGGCTTCCCAGCGTCGAGCAGCTTGAACTCTGCTAGGAGGAAGCAAAGTTGACGCCCCTCCTTGCCTGCATCCGTTACCGCCACGTACTCTGACTTGGTCGACGACAATGTCTCGCACTTGATGCGCGAGCTCGACCAGGAGACGGTGGCCCCTCCGTAGACAAAAACGTAGCCTCCCATGCTCTTCTGGTTCTGCTTGTCGCCCTTGTCATCGGCATCCACATAGCCGATCAGCTCTAGCGACTTTGGTCCACCGCCGAACTCCAGGGCGGTGTCGCGCGTGTCAGCGAGGTAGGCGAGTCAGCGGTCGACCTTGCGCTAATGCTGGTCGCTCCTCACCGTGAGGCCGCTCCCCAGCTTGCTGCAGGCGAACGCAATGTCCGGCCCGTCGTCGTCGCCGTGAACTGTAGCGAGCTGAATTTCTGCCGGTACTCCTCCTCCTCGCACTCTTAGGCCTCCTCGTCGTCGAACGTTAGCTCTGCATAAGTGTCGACCAAGACCGACGTCTTCGGGACTCGATCGCCCTGCTCCTTGTCGATGAACCGCCTGCGCAACTTGTTGGCGTAGCCCTGCTGGTGAAGCCACAGCTTCCTTGCCGGCCTATCGCGCACGATCTCCAGCCCAAGGTAATTCACCACCGTTAAGATCTCTCGCAGCTCGAAGGCGGCCACCAGCAGCTCCTTCAGCTCCTTCAGCATCGCGGTGCTGCTGCTGGCGGTGAGCAGGTCGTCGACATAGACCAGCACCCAGCAGGTCATTCTGTCGTTGCCGTCCTTGAAGTAGAGCGCCTCGTCGACCTGGCTCTTCTTCCAGCCAGCGCCCAGCAGCACACTGTCGAGAGCTCTAAACCACAGCAGCGGCGACTGCTTCAGCCCGTAGAGGCTCTTCAGCAGCTTACACACCCGGCCGGTCCCGTCGTTGAAGTAGTCCGGCTGGTATATGTAGAGCACCCTGTCGAGCTTGCTTTGCAGGAAAGCGTTCTTCATGTCGAGCTGCGTTAGGGTTGAGGTCAAGGACGGCAACGATGCTGAGGAAGATCCTCAGCGTGACGTAGCTGCTGACCGGCGAGTATGTCTCGTCGTAGTCAGCACCGTACACCTGCGTGAAGCCCTTCACGACCAGCCTTGCCTTCTCGCGCTCGACGGTGTTGTCGATGCGGTACTTGGTCGTCAGCACCCACCGGTTCTTCATGATGTTCACCCCGCGTGGGCGTTCGACCAGCTCCCTAGTCCCCATACCGATGAGGCTGGGAATCTCTTCTTTCATGGCGGCCTTCACAGCCTCGCCCTTCGAGCTTGACAGCGCCTCCTTCACTGTCATCGTGGCGATGTCCCAGTGGTGTTTGGGGTCGGTATGCACGTCGAGTTCGAGCTTCGGCGGGTCTTCATCCTCATCGGTGTCGTCGTACAACAGGTCGTCGTCGACCTTGTTGTACACTGTGGTGAAGGCATCTGGCGGTAGGCAGGCGTGGAAGCTCAGCCGTTCCGGTGGCCGTCGAGCTCGACCTGTGCGTCGCAGCTCAGGCTTCGTTATCTGCACTTCCACCACGTCGCTGTCGGTGGACTCCTCACCCGCCGACTGCTCCCCTTCCTCGTCAACGTCCTCGTCGTCGACCAGCTGCTTCGACCCTTCGACCAGCTGCTCGCCTACTGCTGACTTCGACAGCTCCCCTATCGACTGCCCCGGCTGCTGCTCCCCTGTCGACTGCACCCCTTCTGTTGCCTCCTGTTCAACCGGCTCCCCTATTTGGTGCTCCCCTGTCGTCGACACCTTCCCATCCTGGTCAACGAGCTTGGCGCCTTGTCGACCGCCGGCATTGCCACTGGCCGGCACCACAGGCGATGCCTCACGGCTCCCCTCATCGCCGGTGGCCGACACAGGTGTCGACGCAGGCCGATCTGCGACGAGGGAGGGAGGAGCAAGGACAGGGGTAGGTGGAAGAACCTCCACAACATCATCATCCACAGGCTCGTTGACCTCGGTGAGCAGCGGAATCGTCGACGTTGAGGTGTCTGTCGGCGAGTGTGCCTGCGTCCGCCCCGACGCCGGCCCATACGTCGCCTTCCACACCTCCAGCGATAGCGTCTCGTAGAAGATCACCTCGACCGACGTGACCACCTTGTTGTCGGTCAGGTCGAGCACCTCCCAGCCCTTGCTCTCCGGCAACATACCCGGGGGAAGTCCTCAACGAGCCTTTGGCGCCAGCTTCCCACCGTGCTGCTGCTCAAGAACCATGAACTGCACCATGCAGCCCCAGACCCGCGCCAGCGTGAGATCGGGCTTCGTCCCGGTCAGCAGCTGGTGCGGAGTTGTCCCCGGCAGCGTCGTCGACTGCTCCAAGCAGTTGCGCACCCAGACAGCCTGTCAAAGAGCGAGGTGCCACCAGCGGTGCTGCATGCCCATGTGCAGCAGCATCGTCCACACAGACTCGACGACGGTGCGCATCTCCCGCTCAGCCATGCCGTTCTGCTGCGGAGTGTAGGGGCACGTCAGGTTATGGACGATCCCCTTCCCGCCGACGAAGTCGGTGAACGCCTTCCTAAGGAACTCCCCTCCTTGATTGGAGCGAAGCGACAGCACCGACTTCTCCATGTCGTTCCACTAGCACCAGCCACTTCTGGAACTCCCGCAGCACATTGCTCTTCTTAGCGACCGGCATTGTCCACACGAACCAAGTATGGCAGTCCTTCAGCAGCAGGAAGTACAAGCTGCCATCCTTGGCAGCCACCCGAAATGGCCCGCACAAGTCAATGTGCATGACAGCCAGTACCTCCTTGGCGTCCGAGCCCTTGTTGGGAAAGGTGTGCCGCGCCAGCTTTCCTCTGACGCACGAGACACGCGGCGGGTCTGCTCCGGTCGACGGCATGATGTCGAGCCCAACAGCAACTTCATGCTTTGCCGAGCTCTTAATCGTGTCGACGCCGACGTGCGCAAGCCTCGCATGCAACCAGTCAGGGGTCGACGCCGTCGCAGAGACGATCGTCCGTAGAGCCACCACCTCGGTCAACGGCGACCGCGTCAAGCAGGGACGAAGGTCGGTGCAGAGGACTCATCCGGTGTAGCGTGCTCGACCGAGCACCTCCCCGGTCACTGTGACGAGCAGCATCCCGTCGCCGTCGCCCTGCAATTGCACTCTGCTCTCCTTCAGTTGGCCAGCTGACAGCAGGTTCCCCTGTACACCCGGAACGTAGAGCGCGTCGGGGATGAGGACTTGCTTCCCTTCCTCCCCTTGTAGAGCAACGGTTCCGCGACCCTTGACAAGCTGCAGTGCCCCGTTGAATCCACGTATGTGCTTCACTCTGTCGCTCGGCGCCATGTCGGCAAAGACTGCCTTCGTCCCCATTAGATCGTGGAAGCACCCGCTGTCGAGCAGCACCACCATTGGGTTGGCCTGCACAGCTGCCGCCACCGCCTGGAAGTCCTCACCAGCCTCCGGCGCCAGCAAGACCATCGGCTCCACCACGCCGACCATCGAGCACGACGCCTCCCCATTGTCTCGGCTCTTGCCGCTGGAGGTGTCGACGTCCTTTGTCGATGACGTCTTCTTCGACGCCTGCTTTTCCTTGCGCGGCTTCTCATCTCGACGGGGGCGACGACTGGCCGATCGACCGCGGCCTCCCTTGTTGTTGTCCTCGTCGTTGTCATCGCGGTCGGGGCACTCGAAGGAGAGATGGTCGGGGTCGCCGCAGATCCAGCACTCCCGCCGTCGACCACCACCTCGTCGGCACTTGTCCTGCGTCGACCTCTTCTCCTCGACGTCCTTTGTTGACTGCCCACCTCCGCTACCACCTCCGCCTGGACTCCCGCGCTGTTCCTGCTGACGATTTGACTTCGTTGGTGCAGCGTAACTCGCCTGCGGAGGAACTCTGTGGGCCGCTCTGCCTCCTGCATGGCCTCATTCTGGAGGATGTAGCTAGTAAGGGAGTCTTCGTCGAGGGACTCACGTGTGCCGGGCACCATCGTAAACCGCTTCATGAGGTTGTAGCTGCGCGGGAGGCCCTTGAGGTCGTGGGCGATGTAGGACGACGTCGAGTATTCAGCGCCCGCCATCCTCATCTCAGCTAGGATCCGTTGAGCTCGGTTGCAGTAGTCCGTCGTCGACTCCTGCTCGCCTATACGAATGTGAGTCATCTTCTCCTCCAGCTATCCGATGTACAGGCCGTCTCGAGCTGGTACGTCAACATGATGAAGTGCCATGCCTCGTGACCAGCATCCAGTCGCTCTCGACAGCTCCTGAGCGCTAGTTGCACCACCGACAAGCAGCATCTCGAGATGACTATGAAGGTAAGCAGGTGAGCAGAACGAAAATCCCCACGCAGCTTGACATCGCCCTCGAGCGGAATTGGCATGGTGCCGTCGGCGAATCCCTTCAGCCCGGCGACCTCCAGGTGAGGTTCGATCGACTCCCTCCGGGTGATGAGGTCCTATCGACCTTGCAGCGGTGCGACGGTGATCCGGTCCAGTGAGAACTTGAAGTAGCCATGCACCGGTGCAATCCCGCCCGCCGTCACTGTCAGAATCCCAACCACTAGACCATTGGGATAAAAGGGCTTGTTTTAGTAGCGGGTCAGTGCGCCCATAACCCCCCAGGCAAACGCGCCTGTAACCCCCCCTAAGATCAATCGGGGATCTCACAATGAAGCTCTACTGACACCCCCCCACACTGGGAGGCCCAAGACTGAGCACAGTGGCAACGGCCAACATGTGCATACACCGGGATTCAAACCCGAGACCGCTCTGATACCATGTCAGAATCCCAACCACTAGACCATTGGGATAAAAGGGTTTGTTTTTAAGTAGCGGGTCAGTGCGCCCATAACCCCCCAGGCAAACGCGCCTGTAACCCCCCCTAGGATCGATCGAGGATCTCACAGTGTAGCTCTAGTGACAGTCACATGCGTCGTTGTCGATAGCCCTCCACCGCTTTGTAGAGGAGAGCGACGTCAAACATCGACGTTGGCACGCGAGCTGCCTGCAGCCGCCGTCGACCGCTGCACTCGCGCCTGCATTTCGTCGACACCACCGTCGACCTTGATCACCCCTCTCTGCCTCGTGCCTTCGCTTTTGGTGACTCGTGCACCACCGTGGACCTCGTCATCAACGCCACCTTCGTTGCGCACCAGTCGAGGAGATGCAGGACGGGAAGGGTGTTCCGTCGCCCACTGCGACCAGATGCCCAACTCGACGATCAGCAAGGGAATCCTCCTGTACTCGCCATCCGCATGGCGTTTCCTTGCATCAGCCAAGCGTATCTCCAACGTGTCCGCTACACCCGCATTAGCTACGGGGCCGACCATGGTGACTTAGTAGGTGCAAAAGTCAGCACCTAGCTAAAGGTATTTGCGAGGCCGTCCACGCTCACCGCACCATTAGGAGAGTCACTCTACAACGGTGGTGAGCTAGACTATAGGGGGTAGGCACGAACTACTAGGAGTGATCATAGCTTTGCTTAGTTCCTTAGTGCTTGAGCATTCACGGGAGAAATCGGCAAGAGTTTCACTAGCAAAGTTGGAATTCCAGAATAATTGAACAAGCAATGACAACAATGACTACATCATGCACCTAGAAACTCTGCAGCTAGCTTAGTCGACCGCCAGCACAGCTTGGTCGACCGCCTACCAGCGTTACGTAGAGGAGCCACGCCAGCACTGCAAAAAGGCGACCTGCCAACAGAGCAGGTCGACGGCGTGCCAACGCTGCAGCAGAGCGGCTGTCCAGCGTTGCCCCGTAGAAGACAGCAGTGTGCACGCTCATAGGTGCACGCAGACGATTGGCCCGACTTGCCTCGTTGGGCATCCGTCGGCTGTTGTCTGCGCCTGACGAGCCACATCGACTTTGGGATACCAGCCCGTAGTCCTGTGCCATCGTGGCCTCGACGACGTTCGTGTGCCTCCGCAGAACTCGTCGAGCAGATTACCCGGTCGACCTGGTCAACCACCAGGTGCTTCTGGTCGACCACCACTGCCTCTGGTCGACCACCGGGTCCCTCTAGTCGACCACCAAGTCCCTCTTATCGACCACAGCTCCCGTCAAGCTACCCCCTGGTCGACGGACCCCTTCTGTCGACCAAAAAAGTCAGCGGTTGACGCCGAGCTCCCCTCGTCGACCGCTGCTCACTTCTCAGGTCAACGGACTGCTCCCGGTTGAGCTGCCTCTTCTGGTCGACGGCCCACCCGTCGCCCAGACCAGTCAGTTGCAGCTGTCGAGCTCCCTGGTCGACAGCAACACCACAGCGGTCCCTTGCAGCTCGACAAAGCCTGTCGAGCAGCTCTCCCACTGTGAACGGTCGGCTACTACTCCCGTACATCCGATCAGGTCGTCGGCGTTGCCCAAGCGAGGGCGGGGCCAACACTCCATTCTCGTTGACACAGACGACGGCCTGGGTTTAGTCTGTACACACTGACCACTACGTCTACACAGGTGGGTGAGTCAGGTCAGGTGGCTGCATCAAGTCGAGTGTCTGCGTCTAGTCAGCTTGTAGCGTCTTGCTCGTGTCAGGTACTCTCCCACCAGACTCTCCTCTGGCACCACTGCCTCGGTCACCCCTTGCTGCCGCGTCTCCACGGCATGCACTCTCGTCTCCTTGTCTCTGGCCTTCCCAGGTCCTTGCCCTCCCTCCTGCGCTCGCTTGTATCGCCGTGCCTTCCCTGCGTCGAGGGGCGGCAGCGCGCCGCTCCTTACTCCTCCGAGTTTCCTCCGACCACTGCTCCTCTGCAGACTCTCCACATGGACTTGTGGGGCCCGGCCCTCGTCAATGGGACAGACTAGGAGCGCTACATCTTACTGGTAGTTGACGACAACTCACGCTACACCACCGTCTTCCCCTTGCAACTCAAGGTGGACGTCAGTGGTGTTTTGATCCCCTGGATCCGTGCTACTCGTCACCAGCTGCGCGAGCGGTTTCTGCGGGACTTGCCAGTCCTGCGTCTGCACTTACGCTTACGGCCTCTCCTCAGCAAAATGGGATTGTTGAGCTTCGCATTGGCTTGATCATGTAGGTCGCTTGTACCTCCATGATCCATGCGGTTGCTCCCCATTTTCTATGGCCGTTTGCGGTCCGACACGTTGCGCATCAGCTCAACCTCTGGCCCCGTGTCTCTGAGCCAGAGACCTCGCCCACCCTCTGATGGACAGGAAAGGTTGGCGATGCGTCGGTGTTTCGGGTTTGGGGCGCGCTCTCCCTTGTTCGCGATGCCAAAGCGAGCAAGCTCTCCTCTTGCACTCTCTGCTGCGTCTTTCTTGGCTTCCCTACTAACGCCCCGCCGTGGCAGTTCTACCAATCGCGTTCGCGTCGAGTCTTTTCCTCTCAGGTCATCACCTTTGACGAGTGTGTCTGTTTTTACAGGTTACACTCACGTGCGTTCCACCCAGTCCCCCTATCGCCTCTCTTCTTGGTACTAGTCCCCCCCTAAGTAGACCCACTCCTCCTGCAGGGTCTAGCTCCCTCAGGTGTGTCTCAGGTAGACCCACCCTCCTTGGATGAGCCTTTGGAGATCTCTTCTGACTCCTCTAGCTTAGCTGAGGGTGGTGACCCCGCCGCGGACGACAAGGCGACCACTCGCCGCTCTCCTCGTTTGGAGACCCCCCCTAGTTTTCCACCGAGAGGATGTCTTCGCCGCCTCAGCAGCCTGCTACTGTGGACTCTGGAGCAGCTGCTGGTGGTGGGGTGAGAATTCTGGGGGTGCTGTGAGTCCTAGTGGCGGTGGAGCTGAGGGTGACCCGATTGGAGGTCCTGGAGCTGGGCAGCCACAGTAGCCTAGTCTACTCGAGAGGCTCTCGCCGCAGCAGATTCGTGAGTGGATCGTTCGGCGAGGCAGTCCTGGTGGTGGAGGGTACGGTGTTGCTAGTACTAGAGCTACTAGTCGTGGAGGTACTATTGGTGCTAGAGTTGTTGGTGCTAGAGGTCCTGCTGGCGCTGGAGGTGCTGGAGGTACTTCTGGAGGCGCTGCTGGCACTGCTGGTGCTTGTGAGAGTACGACAGCTATGCTGGCTATGCTAGCTTGCCTGGTGGGAATTGAATTGAATGCTTACCCAGTAGCACCTTACTCACGTGTAACACCTTACCCTAGTCGTGGAGGTGCTGCTGGTGCTGGAGGTGCTGGAGGTGTTGCTACTGGAGGTACTGGAGCTGCTGGTGCTGGAGGTGCTGGAGCTGCTGCTGCTGGAGGTACTGGACCTGTTGGTGCAGTTAGCCACCTTCTAGGTCTTCCGCCCACTGCTACTGAGTTCCCTGTCCCTGGTACTACTCCTCCGTTACTTTTCCCACCGACAGACCAGTCTCAGCCAGAGCTACTGCCTCACTCCCCACTGCCTGCCCCTGCTCCTTACACTAAGGTGACAGAGTCCCTGACTGAGCATCGAGAGCCTGAGACTCGTGCTTCCACTCCTGAGCTTCGAGAGACTGAGACTAGAGCATCTGTTCCTGCTCGTGTTCGTCGTGTGCATCATCCTCGTGCTTCAGCTGTCCCAGGCACTCACGATATGACATTCCGTCCTTCCTCTGTTCCAGAGTGTGTTGTCCCGCCGTCACCTCCTGCATCTTCTCTTCCTGACGTTGGTGACCCTCCTTCTGACCTTACTCGTACTTCCAGTCCGACTGTCACTCGCTTTCTTGCTATAGTTGTGACTGACCCTACGTTCTCGTCTCTTGCTACGTCTGCCCTAGTCACTGAGCTCGTTGACTTTGCTGCTGCGTACCACCTAGACTACCTTGCGAATCTTGATTCTGACCCTGCCTGTCGGCTGTGACATTCTTGAGGACAAGCAGGAGGAGCTGGAGTGCCTTGCAGCCGCTGTACCCCATCTCGCTACCATGCTGCTTACCCCTGAGGGAGACCCGGATGCACTTGACATCCCCACTTCGCGCTCTTACAGAGAGGCGATCTCGGGTGAGTACTCCTCTCAGTGGCAGGCAGCCATGGACGCAGAGATGGCTTCCTAGAAGTCCACAGGCACTTACGTCAACGAGGTTCCCCCACCAGGGCCGAACATTGTCAGTGGCATGTGGATTTTCAAGATGAAGGGGCCGCCGGGTTCTCCGCCTGCCTTCA